ATTAATCCCGTCATGGAAGCCCTCATCTTCATGACCTAATTACCTCCCAAGGACATCATCTCCTAACACCTTTCTGGGGGTAAGAACTTCAACATATGTATTAGAGGGGGGATATAATTCAGTCATGGAAAGATGTTAGTGTGTGGGGAGCAAAGCAAGATCTTTTAGGCTGAAGGAAATCCTAGGTCAAAACAAGGAGACAAGAATCAGCATCACTATTTGGAAGGACCAGAAGCAATTCAATATGGTGGGAAGCATGGGTGGCTGTTAAAACTAGTTAGAGATGAAAACTAGGCTGGTGGCTCCCACGTGTAATCCCAGCACTTGGGAGGCTGAGGCAGGAGGATCACCACAAGTCTGAGGCCAGCCTGGAGTACCTAGTGAGCCTGAACTACATCGTGAGACCCTGTCTCAAAAACCCAACCCCTCCCAAAAGTAGTTAGAGGTAAGGCTGGAGGGAATCCTACACCATTCAAAGGGGCTTTGAACCAGGGTTTGAATCTGAGAATCTGTGTTTCCCCAAACTGACTGCCTCAAAATTACCTGGTAAGCTTATTAGGAACCAGATTGCTAGGGCTTCCTCCTACCTACACAGGCAGGATCTCCACGAGTCAGACCTTGGAATCATCCTTTCTCCAGTGTCCTGGGGATCCCCACGGGCAGTCTGGCACCTAGGACCACAGTGCAGCCATGGGAGGGCTTCAGGCAGGGAAGAAGCAGGTGCGAGGTAGACCAGTCCTGAATTCTCTTGCTCCTCTGCTGCGAGAAATGGTAAAGGCCTGAGCAAGGACCTGGGCCAGGAAATAATGCGCCTGGCAGCTGCTGCTGGGATCAGCATGCTTCCTTGCACCATGTGTCCATCGCCGAGACGGGAGCCATGGGGAGAGTAAGGTTTCCAGTGGGAGGAGCTACTTTAGGATGTTCAGTAGCGCCTTAGCAGAGGTGTCCTGCCCCATGCCAGCCCCACTGGGCTCTGGTCACGGGACCTTGAAGGACCATCTCTCTCACCTCTCCCTTCATCCTAAGTGAAGGCTGATTTCCACACCCCGTATGGCTCCTCATTCCAGCCAGGGTTCCAGAATGCATGTGGAAGTGGCCTTAGGAGGGCGGGGCTTATGCTTCATCCAGGAAAAGTCAGAGACTACTTGGGATCATGGGTTTCCTTAGTTGTTCAATGGAGGAAGCTATTTGCTATATATTGTTTTCCTCCTGCATTTCCCTCCAAAACCAGTACCAAAACAGTCTGATCTATTAGAAAATATATTGTGTTGTACCTGTGCTTGAACAAAGTGCTTGCACTTGAACAAAGCACCCCAAACCCCTACATCCTGCTTGACAGTAAACTTACTGCAGTTGCAGGATGTTTTGTAGCTCACCTAGTGTCTGTGAAACTTCCTTGTGTCCCCCACTAACCTGGCGTGATTCTGCTTCTGTAAGATTCTGCTTGCTCTGCCCTGAGCCCTCCCCAACTGAAACCGTGATTTAAAAGGAGAAATCAAACTGCTTCCCATTGCTGAGGAAACTTTCTGGGCTCTAGCCCCCCTTGGCCGCTGGCTATAAAAAAGGGCTCAAATCCGATTAAAAAAAAAAAGAAAGAAAATATATTGTGGTCTCCCAACCCAGAAGTGTCCCAGGCTCAAGGTGAAGATGTGATCTAGACGACCCTCTTGGGGAACCTACTTCATAGTCCACGCTTCTCAAGACCCTCACCACAGTGGCTCTGCAGCCTCCTCCTTCTCCTTGCCTCTTTGAATTTCACTTTTACCAGGCAATGTCACACCTCTGTGCAGTGTACATGCTAATCTCTTCGCATGAAATGCCATCTTCCACTCCTTGCTCTCAGTCTGCTCACTGAGACCCGGTTTTCTGTGACACTCTTCCCATCTGACACACACTGCAATCTAGCTGTTGCTGTGAGCCACCTCCGCCACCCTGTGCTAACATGGCTGGGAGCAATTACACAGAAGTCTATGCACCTGTCCTGCTCAAATTGGGAAATGGGAAATCCTCAAGGCGAGAGTCTAAAATTTAAAATGGTGTTAAATTTTGTTCCCCAGTTCCTGACACACAGTAAGGGTTTAACAAATACCTGCTAAACCAAACAAAATTTAGAACAAGTGCCCTCTGACATATGGATGTCATGACAATTTAATAGCATCTTTCTGGATTTGCTGGTTGGTGTCTTTAGCAGAGGCAGCTTTTAAGGCCTCTGTACATATGTGATGGCCCATCCCCCTCCTTCCAAAAGGACACATTTTTAACAGTAAATTTAAGGTGATTATTTGCATCTCAAATGGTTGAGGGGCAGGTTTCCTTTAAACATTAAACTTTGGCTGGAACTTTCAGAAACCTGCCTTACAGATCATTAACTTCAGGGAGAGAGTGGGAGCCAGAAAAATGGAGAAGTTACTTTTTAAGAGTGAGTTCAGAGATGCCTCTGAAAAGAGGCCGAAAGTCAGAAAACCTTGGAGCCAGGGTGAATTAGGTTCAGATTCCGGCTATCCTAGTTATGTGGCCTTGGGCAAGTCATTTAAGTCCTCTGTACCCCTGATTTCTTTAACCCTAATGTGGAAATCCACTAGTCTTTTTTTCAGGGTAGTAAAGATGAAAAGATACTATGTGAAGTATATTAGGTGGTAGAGGGGGACCAATAATCATAACAGTATTATTGTTATGCTTCTCATGGCCCATGGAGAGGAGTGTTATGTGGTTTTCAGAATTTTGCCCTGGACAACAGGAATAAGGAAGTCAGAAAGGATTCATAAAGGAAGGGCCAGACTGCTGCAGCAGCACATTTTGAGTATCATAGCACTTCATCATTTTTTAAAAATTAAAGCTCCCTGTGTTGAGCAGGCAGACACTGAGGACAGCACTGTGAAGTTTGTTGACTGAAGGTCTTGGACTCTAGAAGATCTGCCACTTATTAGCTCTGTCTTTCCACATTCACATAGACCAGTAATGGCAAACCTTTTAGAGCTTTCAATAATAACAAACTGGCTGCGGCATGCATGCCATAGGTTCGTCATCACTGGCTCAGTTTATCTGTAGAAAGGATACAACAATACTTATCTCAAGATTGCAATGAGATAATGAATGTAAAGTACTTAGCCCAATGCCTGATATATTGTACACCTTTCACGGACTGTATCAGTTATGCACTATATTGTGATGTGATCGGTACTAATAAACAGAGCAGTAAATGCCTTGCTTGAAGGGGTCAGACTCTGGAGACCACCTGTCACCAGCGCTGTGTGAACGTGGCCTTGTTCCCTGACACAGATGGTTTGCTTTGGACAGTCTCTCAGGTTCCTAAATTGGCCTCAGACCAGTTTACTCACAGCTTCCCAACACGGGCGCTCAAACCTGGGCGTTGTTGCAGGCCCAAGTTTCTGTCTCCCACCTTCCAAAGGGTAATCCTACTCTCTTCAGGCCCCTCAAAAAACCTTTCCCCTCCACAGCCTACTCGGGCACTTGTCGCATTTTGGGTCATTCCTATTGCTACACCTGCCCTCTAAATGGTGACCAAATGGACAAGTACCCTGTGCCTGAGAGGGAAGCCTGTTGGCTGTAGGGAAGATGAATGAGGGCTTCATTTTTGTAGAGATTTCTTAATCTCCTGAGTTCTCTCTTACTGTTTCCGTCTTTTGTGGAAAAAGTAGATTTGGACTTTGAAAGCCTGTTTGGAGGTTCTAACAGGGAAGCACAGCTACTCCTATACCCTTGACCGAGGAAACCGTCCTCCTCTATGGGGGTGGTCGTCCTCTTCCACCGAGCGCTTCCTGAGGGTCGCATACGGTGCGTGAGGGTGGAAGGACCAATCGCCAGTCAGCCAGATCAGACGAATCAACCCTGGCGATCAATGGGGTGTCAGATGTTGCAGCCAGATCGCCCTTACATCCAGAAAAAATGATTTGGAAATGGGTGAGAGGTGGGGGGAAAGACAGCCCTAACAGTTTGGGTCACAGCTGCAGGTCAAGCTCTTTGCTGCTCTTCTTTCCCAGAACCAGAGAAAGTGAGACGGTCTATTCTGGAGCCCCCAGGACCCTGAGAACCAATCCCTACCCAACGGGCTGCGGCAGGGCAGGCATCAGGGTCTCCTCTAGGTCGACGGGACGGGCACACGCACGTCCACTCCCGGATACCCTCAAGCCTCCGCATAGCGAAGCCGAAGACTTTGACCTTGCAGGAAACGGCGCCCTAGGGCAATGGGGACAGTCCCCTGGAGAAGCCTGCAGATTCCTCTGGAAAAGTTGTCCAAACAAAGGGCATTCCTCAGCTTCCACCCCGCAGCGGAGCCGGGTGGAGCCGGGTGTAGAGTTACACGCTGCCGCGCTCAGGCTCGCGTGGAGCGGCGTCCCGCAGCTTCCCCGCCGAGAAGGGCTCGGCGGGCGGCGACCCCGTCGTCCCCAATCGCGGGCCAGTCCTCGGGTCCCTCCTGCCCCTTGACGCCCGGGAGGCCGTCGTCGCTCCCCGCCGCCGCGGCCCGAGAGCAGAAACCCGTGCGCTACGGGCATCCCGACCCAGAGGCCGCCCCCGGAACCGCCGGCCGCGAGGGCTGGGATGGGGAGGCTGAGGTCGCGGCTCCTCCAGCCCCTTCCGCTGCCCCTCCTCTCCGCGCTCCGGCTCCCTCGCTCCTCTTCCCGGCCGGGAGAGCGCCGGCTTGGCCTTTTCCCCTGCAAACCGACCCCTGCGCGGGCGGCCCTTGCCGCGCCCTCTCGCCTGCCCGCCCGCCCGCAGCTCGCTCCTCGCAAGCCTAACGCGGCACCGGGGGCGAGGCTTGAGGGACGCCCGCCCGCCTGGCTTCGGGGCTGAAGTCCCTGCCCGGAGTCTGTGACGGGCCGGGAGGGAGTCGAGGCTAGCGGAGGGCCTCGCCTCTCCGAGGGATGGAGGGGACGGAGGCGGCGGCCGAACCTGCGGGCGGTAGCCCTCAGTGAGTATGGAGCAGGCGAGGCGCGGAGCAGGCCGGGCGGGGGCGGCGGGCCGCGGAGACTGGGCCCGGGCCGCCTGCGACGCGGCCTCTCCGAGCGAGCGGGAAGGGTCAGACGGAGGCCCGCCCTTCACGTCCATCTTCATTTCAGCTTTTCCGAGTGAGAGCAGATACAGCACTTGGGTCATAGGCTCAGATGGCGGAAGCCTCTGCCCTTCTTTAAGGTCCCGGGACCCGGATCCTCTGGGCTGCTGCTCCACCAAAAAGTTCTTATAATTTAACAGAAATGGCACACACGACGTTCTGATCCCGTTTTCTGGATTGGTCCTTAGAAGAGAGAAGGAGGTAGCTAGGCTGCAAAGAGAAACCTGGTACATTCTAGATTAACCGGTAAATGATTTCTCTCCTAAAGATAGTCCTTAAACTTCACTGGCTTAATACTGATGTGACATTTTGGGTTACATGGATATTTTAATCCTAATGTATGAACATTCCTGAAATGTGTCTGTATTGAGTAGTAATAAACGACTATAGAAGGACGTGGGATTTAAGAACATTTTATGGTGAATCCTTAGTCTGTGCACGAAGAGAATAATTACTGCTAATTGGTAGTTTATGTACATATGGATTTTTATACATGAAGTTTACTTCAAGGGTGACACACATCTAGATATGTGGTGTTAAGTAGCACTTTCCAAGAAAGTAAATATCAAGACAGTGGCCTGTATTTATGCTTTGAAGAATAACATCCCGTGCTGTCTTTCCTTTGTTTTGAAAGCATTCGTGTCAGCCATGCCACTAAGAGCAATGCTGGCAAGTCATTAACCTCTGTGAACTGAAGAGTCTAATCTGCAGAATGATGGAAGTGGGGTTAAGAGATCACTAAGTGTTTTGGAAGAGCCCTGAAAAGCTTTTTAAATTCTAAACTGGGCCTCCATAGCACCTGTGTGTGTAATTTGTGCCTCAGTTTTTCCATCTGTAAAATGGATACCATCTCAGCAGAGTTGTGTCAGGATTACTTCAGGGAATGTGTTTGAAAACACTTGAAAGGCTCTGCCTGGCCCACAGCAAATGCCTGATATGCATTAGTGACTGACTATGCACTCCCTACAAGGGAGCTGAGCTGCGGCCTAAGCATGGGGGGCGGGGGGTGAAAGGGAACACTTTGCACTGGGGATGTGTCCTGCCTGTCACCTTGCTGAGGTCCCTTGTCTGCATGGAAGAGCACGTTGGCCATTAGCAGACTTTGACCTCTTCAACTGAGGCCATCTTCTGCAAAGCAAGAGACCAGGGATTAAAGAATCACCTTGGTTTTTTTTTTTTTTTTTTTTCATTCTGGTCCACATTTGGCATAGTATTAATTGTTTGAAGCCCATCCATAAAATGAGGATAAAAAACTAGAAGAAGACTCAGACCTGGGAGAAAAAATTCAGTAATAACTTGTTTGTACTCTTGCATATTTGTACCTTTCAAATGTTTTCCCATTATCTAGTGGGCACCCCTGCTCTGTTGCTAGGTTACTACTCTCAGTGGGACAGGGCTCCAGACCAAAGCTTGGGGACCCAGCAGCTATCCAGGAGCTATCCAGGTGCTGGCTCTCAGGATCTCTGTCTCTTCTCCTCCAGAAAGCCCAAGACAGGGAGCAGAATAACCAGCCCCGTGCAGGTGACCTCAGTAGTGGAGGGAAATGATCCTGAGCCACAACTGGATAATGGACCCCTTTCAAGACCCTGGCCCTTTCCTCCCCCCAAGCCTCCCAGGCTGTACAGGATGCAGCTCCATGGATCCTCTGTGCTGGAGTCCAAGGTGAGGGCTTTAAAGGAAAAGATGACAGCAAGTAAACAGGGAGTGAGCCCCACCACCCATGAGCAATCATCCACCAAGAAATCCAAATGCCGACAAGTCAAGCCTGGGAGAGTCCAGATATCAGAAGACTCCTCCCTGCCAGATGCTGTGGAGGTGCCCTATGCTCAGAAGCTGACTGGCGGGCAGCTGGACAGCAGTGTCAACAAGGAAGAACCCAGGAGCAATGGGGGCTCCAGGCCTCTGCCCTCGGCCCCTGAGCTTGAGTGTTGGAATGGACAGAACCCTTTGTCTCCAGAAGTGGTATGGATATTGTCAGACCGTGAGAGGGGTCTAGCACCAGGACCTGACTCTTTGCCAGAGAGCCCTAGCCAGGGAATTACTCCAGGCTGGCCAGTGGGGCCTGGTCCTTGTAAAATCACCTGCATACCCAACCTGAGGAAAGGAAGGTCAGACCCCCTTCAAGATGCTCTGGTTACAGTGGGAGACTTGGACAGCACATCCCTGATCCCTGAGGAGGCCTTTGTCCCAAGAACAGCCCTGCTGGGGACACTCTGGAAAGCTAGAGACCTGGGGACTCTGGGCACTGGGGGAAATCCCTTGTCCTTGTCTGACCAAGTAGAGAGGAACCGCCTACTGCTGCAGGAGATGCTAAAGGTTGCAGAACAGAGTCCCCCTAAGACAGCACCCCCAGCCTGGACTCCATCCTGGAACAGAACTGCACCAGGTAAGGCTCACTCTGTAGGTCTGAGTGGAGCAATAGGAAGGAGTCCAGTGGAAGGGACAGGGAAGGAGGTACTATCAGAGGAGAACAGGCAACGAAGGAGCATACAGTTGCCTGCAACCAGAATTCTCAGTGTCCTTTTATTCTTGGTTTGACACGGGTTCTTTGCCATCTTATAGGCATCCCTGCCTGCTGAAGACCTCTGAATCGATGGGAGGCTGCTACCTGTGCTTGGGAGCTAGAGGCTACCATGACTTCCCTGGGCCTTGTAGCCCTTCCCAGAGCAGCTTTTTGCCTTCCCTCCACTGACATGGCCACACACTTCACTGGCCTCACTGCCCTCTAGTGGACAAGCGGTCAGGAGTCCTTCCCTGCAGAGAGGCTGCGCACTGGATCCACTCATCCTCCCACTTCCCGGAGGTTTGAGTGTTCAGATCCGAGAAGACAGCCTACTTTCATAAGCTCATTCAGCACCCCATCCCTAAGGGTATGTGGGGGCCGCTGTGCCCACAGCCATGCTTACCTTTAGTCATCATGACAGGCTATGCCTTGTCTTCTCAGGTCAAGATACAGGCATGGTGTTAGATTTATCTGGGGCAGAGCTTACTGGAAACCTTGGAAACCTCTCTCCTCGGTGTTCCTTAAGTGGCAGTTTCTGGCTTCTGTTCTGATCTCTGCTTTTGTTCTGGGCCCTAGAACGATCAGCAGGGGACGTGGGCTGGGAATCAGGCATTTTCCTGCAGGACTCAGAGCAGAACAGGTAAGGACTCAGAGCCCGCATTTTCTTTCCCTCCTTCCTCTCCATTATCCCTCCATTTACTCCACAGCAAGACAGTAGGAGACCTTGAAAAGGCCAGAGGGCAGGCAAATCCCTGCACCCAGGGATATGGCCACTGTGGATCATCATCCTTGAGACCCTGTAGAAAGTGTCTGTCACCCTCACTGCCCAGTGCCCATCTGCTACTTGAGCAAAGCCACGGGGCACAGAGGTGTATAAAGAGCATCACCATCTACCTACTCTGTGTCCTGGGGGCCATTTCCCCTGCCAGGGCCTCTGTCTCTGTGCTTTAAAGTGGAGAAAATTATATCTGGATTATATACCGGATTATTGTACGGCTAAAATGAGACAAATGGATGTGAAAGTCATTAGGGAAAGTACAAGAATGTGCAGCTTTTACTCCACCTATTCTTTTCTTAAGGCAGTGTGCTGGGGTCAAGAATTCCACCTCCAGGTTTTGCTGCCTGCTGCACAAGTGCAAGGACCCGAGTTCGATCCCCGGTACCAAGAAAAACAAACCAAGAATTCCACCTGCTCACCATAATGCCCACAGAGTTTTCTATGCCTCCACCCTTGTTTTGGGATCCCCTGTGGTGGGGGAAGTGGGGATGCTTGTCCTTCACAGGCAGAGTCAGAACTTGGCAGATGAGTAAAGCACACATAAGGTGTGGCAGGGGCCACCTGTGGGCCTGAGCTGCTGCTGCTGCCCACAAAGCTTGGCATCAGCCTCCTCAGGGGTCTGCATCTGAGGCTGAGAGGGGCCTGGGAATGGGAGCCGCTCCCATTTCCCTAGCTGCACACCAGTGTCAGCTTCCTGATTCCTGCTGAGAGCAGAGGTCAGCATTGTTGCTCCCCCATTGTGTTACTTACTTTTTCTCTCATTGCTAAGACAAAATACCTGATACTCAAAGTTAAAGGGGGAAGATTTATTTGGCCTATAGTTCATAGAGATTTCAGTCCATAATTGACTGGCTCCAAGGCAGGATGGCAGAGGGACAACAGTCCATGGCAGCTGGAGACTGCAAAAGCAACAAGAAAAGCAAGAGGTTCATCACAGAGGAAAAACAGTTCATGGCACCCACAAGGTAGCAAAAACAACAAGGGATCTTTTCTTTTCTTTTTTGTGTACCAGGGATCGAACTCAGGTCCTAGCACTTGAGAGGCAGGTGGCGGAACCACTGAGCTAAATCCCTGGCCCAAGCAAGGAATCTTAACAGTGTCTTTCTGCTCCTTTTATCTTATTCAGACAATTTCGGGTGAATAGCACTCACACATTTAATCCTAGTGCCCTCAGGGCTAGCCTCGCCAATGGTCAATCACACATTCTAGATTTAACCATCTCTGGAGAACCATGAGGCTTTGGGGTGGGGGCCATCTAAACACAAGCCATAACACCCATGATCAGGCTGCTGAACTTAGTTTGCATAAATTCCACTTAGTTTGACTTGGCCTCCAGAAAGTGTGGAGAGGGCCCCAGTCTTAGTCTGTTTAGGCTGCTACCATAACATACCATAGACCTGATGACTTGTAAACAACAGAAAGACTTAATATTTCTCACAGTTCTGGAGAATGCAAGTCCAAGGGCAAGGAACCAACAGATTCAGAATCTGATGAGGGCTCCTTTCCTGGTTCATAGTAGCACTTTCTCCTTGTGTCCTTGCGTGGTGGAAAAGGACTAGGAAGCTCTCAAGGGTCCTTCTAATAAGGACACTAATCGCCTCCCAAGGTCCCACTTCCTGATACCATCATGCTGGGGGTTGGTTTTGAACCTCTGTGTTTGGCAGGGACATAAACCATAGCAGCCCTTTGTAACAAAGTGAGGGTTTCCAGTGTCAGGACATTCGGCTTCTGGGCTAAGGGTCTGGTTGGGACAGGGATGTTTGGCTCTGTCATCCCTTGTTTTATGTGACTTGGTCCCTCTGCCTCCATGACCACTGTTCTTAGCCTCTTGTCACATCCTTATCTGGCCCTTCCAGTGTGGGGGAAAGGCAGATGTGGCTGCAGGGAGGGCTGTAGTCCCCAGGGACACTTTGCTCCCTTTTCCCTCTTTCTGTCTTCTCTCCACTTCCTTCACTATGGCGCCTGAGAGGAGAAGGCTTAGTAGTTGCACCTGTGTCCTGTGGAAATGGTGCCTCCTTCTTCCCACTTTCCCTCTTTGATGGGAAAAATGCCCCACAGGACTGTTTCTGCTGGGATTCTGCTCAGCAGTCACTGTTGAAATGTGAATCCAAAGCTCCTGACCTGCATACTGGATAATAATAATAACCACTCACTTTATATTAGTATTATTATTGGCTTTTTGAGACAGGATCTCGCTATACAGTTCAGGCTGGCCTTGAACACTCACTATGTGGCCCAGGCTGGTCTTGAACTTGAGTCAGTTCTCTTCCCTGAGCCTCCTGAATGCTTGGACTACAGGCATGCACCACCACGCCCGCAAAAACCACTCATTTTAAAGGAGGAGAGCTTCAGCCAGAGGAAGGGAAGACCTTTCCTTGTCCCTGTGAAGAGATGGCACAGATGTAGGATCAGGACTGGGATTTCTGGACTTTTAACTTGCCAGGACATCTGCAGCTATGTTGTGCATTTTAGAGTTCAGGCGGGGTGTGTGTGCATCATATCGTATGATTTGTCATATGCATATACAAATGATTGGTGTGTGTATGAATGTGTGTGGGGGTAGGGTCTTAGTGAACTTTAGACCCTATTCAAAGACTAACAAAATGTCCCCTTAGAATCTCAAGCAGATCAGGTTCCTGCTAGTAGACACCCAGGCTGAAGGCCCAGGGAATATAGCCAGATTCAAGGAGGGAGAAGTATAAGCTATATCATGATGCCCTCTCAGATAGGCTCCTTGTCTGGCTTTGTTTCTGAGTCTCCTAGGCAGACATTAAAGTGTCCTGAAGATACTACAGGGCTCCCTCTCTCCCCTAAGCAGGGCTCCATTCTCCCCTAAGGAGGGTGTATTTGTTGATGCCAAACTTTCCAAGAGAGCTTTGAAGTAAGGCATGTTCCTCACCCTCACGCTGTACCCCAGGAGGGCTACCCAGGGCTAGGGTCCTGATCTCAGTGGCTATACTAAGGAGTGTGGGACCCTGGGCAGAGGAGTGCTCTGAGGCTGTGGCTGTGTCAGGACATTCTCTAGCAGGGGCAAAGGGCAGGGCTCATTTGGGGGCAGTAAGCTCCTCAGGTCTTCTCTGCGTTTGAGGAACGAATGACCTTACTCATGTTCAGGGAGGTAGGTCATTATTGTAATCAAGTAACCATTATGAGCAAATAACTGGCCATTCTTGTTATTGCTCTTCAAGGTAATAAGAAGCTCATGAAATGACATTCATTAGGAAGTTCAAGACAATACTTGGGGTTGGGGCCATTTTGGCCCATTTTGGCCCATTTTGGCCCATTTTGCTTCAGGGTGGTCCCAGGGAGTCAGCCACAGAGAGAAGCCACCTGAGGATCTAGGACTTTAAGTGCTAGGGGTCAGATGTAGAGAGCTCCATCCCCCAACTCCAGGGTTGTCCCTCTCTACTAAAAACCAAGCGATGACTCAGTCCTAGAGGACCAGAATGTCCCAGGGGCAAGGGAAAGGGCTAGGCCAGCAGCTGGTGTTTTACAGCACTTAGGATATGTTAGGTGCTGTGCTAAGTGCTTTTCCTGAATTCTCATTTTATTTAATAACAAACTTTATGTGTTCTTCCTGGTTTGCTGACAGAGGCCTCTCTCGGGGGAGATTAAGTGACTGGCTCAGGGCTTGGAGCCAGGATTCACACCCAGGGCTGCCTGTTCCAAGGCTGTGCTCAGTCCATTGTGCTGCGTTGCCACAATATCACAGAGACTCGAATGTGAGCTGCCCACTGTGTCCGGGTATCAGTGTGATACAGATGGAATTGCCCATTTTTGTTCTCATTGCTCACTCCCTGTACTGGCCAAAGCCGTAGCTGTTACTGGCATTTCTCTCCTGGAGCTCCCAGGCACAGGAACTGTGCTAAGAAAATGCCTGGCAGAGGCAGGCAGGAGGGAGTGCGTGAGGGCTCACTGAGGGCTGGAACCTGTGCAGACCTGTGAGGGTCTGGATGGAAACTGGAGAGGACATTCCAGATGGATGAGGCCCAGAAATGCCTGGGAGAGTCTGCAGTAGAATGTGTGGATGATCTTATCGGACTAGAGGGCGGAAGGTGGACTGAAGCCACTTACAGAGAGCCCCGGAATTTAGATTTTAATCTGAATGTGGAGACATTTAATGGTCTTCCTCCTGCTGCCCTTGCCTGCAATAGCAGCATGACCTCATCTCCTGGGAGTGTGGGCTGGCGCCAGGCCCTGTGGGCCTGTGTAATATCAAGGAGTCTGGTGAGGGGCTGTAACCATTCTGGGTCACGGTCAGGTTCTGGTTCTGGATCTTCTGTGCTCCTAGTATTAGGAGTTATGATGAGTCCTAAGAGTGAGCATGGGAGAAGAGATACTTCTGGCCCACCCCAGGATTTCCAGGGCCATAGAGGTAACTGAGGTCCCTCCATGGCAAGGGTATCATTAAGTGGCTGAGCCCTGGAGGTCCTGCCTACCCTTACCCCCACCCTCAACTCCCATCCTGCCCCCCACAGACTCAGATGCAGGCACAAAGGAGATCCTAGCCCCACTGAGACTAAAATGAAAGACAAATTAAATGTAACCTTTCAACAGTGTTTTCAAACAGGTAACTGCTCCCCTAGTGTCTAGTGCCCTATACAGAGTCAGTGCCACCTGGAACACTCAGGTGCATTGTCCCAGGCCACGTCCTTGCCAAGCTCACACACACCATACATAGGAGCTCATCACGGTCACGGCCCACTCTGTACCAGTGAAGGAGCTGGAGAAAATTAATTTACCTTAGGCTATTCATCCAGTGGGCAGCTGGGCTGAAACTGGTGGAAAGGAAGTCCTCCTCCCTGCCCTCTAGAGCTGAGGAGGCCACTGTCCCCTATCTAGGGGTGACTTCGACATCTGCTGCCACTTATGGCTACCTATGTCCCACACCTGAGCCTAGGCAGTGCTGACCAGAGGGACGTCCCCAGCCTCCTGCGCTCAGCGAGAAATTTGTTAGCCTTTAGGAAGCCAGGACAGAGCTGCTCTGTGCTCCACAGTACCCAGATCCCATTAAAGAAGATGTTAAATGCTGTGGACCCTACCAGCTGACCTTCTTAATACTTCTAGTCTTCCTTCTCTATTGAGAGTAGGGCCTGTTTACCATCTGGTCATTAGCTTCCTGCAGCTATCCACTGGCCTCCTCCTGTTCCCTCTCCTATGGAAATCCCCTTGCCATGGAGTCCTATCAAAGGCTTTTGAAAAGTCCAGAGCAAAAACTACCAATCCCTCTCTAGCTGTAAACATTTATCACTTCCAAACATGCCTTCCCCATTCAGACAATAGGGTGATTTTAGTTGGCAGATGATTTTAGTTCATTGTCAGGGAGCCCTTCTTTCATTTAGTAAGAGGTGAAAGTAATTTAATAAAACAGCGATGCTAATAATAAAATTAGTGATAATAATAAATACTAGCATTTACAGAATCTTACCAAGTGCACAGGTCTGTGCTAAGCCCTTTGAAGAAAATCACTCTCACTGATCTCTTACTTAGCAGGTGAAGAAACCGAGGCTTACCCCCTAAGTCACCTGCCAAGGCACACATCTAGGAAGTGAGAGCCCAGGGATTTGAACTTGGACAGGCTGCCCCTGAACCACAGTCTTCACCAGTATTCTGGGATGTTTCCTGTTAGTGGCTGGAGACCTGGGCAGAAGGCACCTGTGTAATGATGATAGTGAGTATAAGATGAGGGCCCTGCCTAACAGAGCATGCAGTCCAGAATCCATTCGTGGCACACGGTTTCCTCCTCCCTCATTTGGGAAACTGCACACAGTGTGAGGGCTCTGTCCTTGGTCATTCTGAAAGCTTGAAAATATACAAAAATGGAAACCAGGTGTAGTAGTGCACACCTGTAATCCCAGCACTGGGAAGCTCAAAAAGGGGGATCTCAAGTCCAAGTCCTACTTGGGCAACTTAGCAAGACCCAGTCTTAAAAAACTAAAAGGGCTGAGGATGTAGCTCAGTGTGAAGGCCTTAGGTACAATCCTGTGCTGACAAAACAAAACAAAACATGGAACCCATGCTAAGCAAAAAGGCTTGATGTGTTCTGTACACTACATATGAGATATGACAGAAAATTAGTGTTTAAATTTTCAAAAGATTACTACAGGAAGATACACAGTGTCATTAATCCCCCTCGAAATACTCTCCTTTACCTTGAACACACTTATCTCATCCTTCTTGCCACTTTCTGAAGCAGTTCTGGAAGTCCTCTTTCATGACTATCTTTAGTTATGTTGTTGTGGCTGCCTTGATGTCTTGAAACAATTCAAAACATTTACCTTTCATGATCATTTTGACTTTAGGGAAGAGCCAGAAGTCACACAGAGCCAGATTCTGTGAATAAAGTAAATAAGACACCTTGTAATGTTTTCACGAGCCTGCCTTTCTGCTGGATGGCACTTGTAGTAGCATTCACTGTATTTTTTATCATACCTCATAAAGACATTCACAAAAGTAGACTTCCAGAATTGCTTCGGAAAGTGACAAGAACAATGGGGTAGGTGTATTTAAAGTGATGGAGAGTTTTTTGAGGGGAAAATGACAACGTGTCTTTTTAATAAATTTTTAAAATTTAAACATTCACCATATATTTCAATCACACCTCATATTTTCTCTTTACTGGTTGCATCCTGAAATCTGGGGAGCTGGATGTCTTATATTCCCTATCATTTCCTGATTTGCATACTTGAGATGAAAGGGTTAAATCCAGACTTGCTGGAGTTTATTGATTCAGTCCAGGATTATGATGGCTGTAGAAAAAGGCCACTCTGTCCCTTTGACCTCCCTGGGTAGGAGTGAAAGGGTGGTTCTCTCCTGACCTGCCTGACTGTGAGGGGAGGTGAAGTCCCTCCTCCAGGAACCTGGCCTAGGAGAGACCAGAGGGCAAGGGGATGCACCCTGGGACTGCCCTTTGTCCTTAGGTTGCAGGTGGCTGTGCTGCCAGGGAAGGACCACACTCTAGTAGAACTCTGCTGTTCTCCAACAATTAGCCCCCTGTGGGCTCTGCTGCTCCTTGAGGGCCAAACTTCTGTCCTGTGGACTCCCCAGGGAGAGGCACTCTGGGACCCCCAACCCACAGTAGGTGATGTGGCTAAAGACCCACACTCACAGGGTAGAAGTGGGTCTGCTTATAGACAGGGAAATCAAGACCCAGGGAGGGAAAGCACACAGCCACTTCCTTCCTGTGCCCCACTTACTGAGCTAATGACTTTCAGAGAACAGGCTTTCAAGATAGTGGCCAAGCTTTCTACTCTTAGGTAGGAATTGCCCTTACCTGGCTGTGTGCTGACGGCCAGGTTTCCAGAGGAATTGTAAGAGCAGGATTGTGGATTATCGTGCCTGATGTGAAGGGGTTGGCTCCATGGCTGTGTGCCCTTGGGAAAGGTGAGGGTCAGATTAGACTGGAAAGTCTTTCTCAGACGGTAGAGTCTGAATGCATCTGCCTGGAGGTCTTGAGTGTCCCTTAGTGTGTTGATGGGAGGCTCACTGTTCCATACCTCTCGGGAGAAAGACCACCTTCCCTCCCCAGGGCTGATTAGGGCATCCCTTCTCCAGGGTGTGCAATGACTGTGGGCTGCCTGCTCTGCCGACCTTGGCTGCAGACTGTGAAGGTGGCTGCCACTCTCCTCCCTACTCAGTATTACTTCGTGGATGCCTCCAGGTGCCTAAAAAGCCTGCTTTTCTAATCAGTGGAGAAACCAGCTTTGTCTGCCAGAAACTGAAGCAGAGCAGCTGATGGAAAAAGAGAAAAAAAAAAAAAAAAGGAAAAATCAGCAACAGCTCCAAAAGGAAACAGCAAAGCTGGAAAATAGCTTAAAAACCTGGGGGCAAGGCTGATCCTGGCAGCATCTGGCCAGCTGCCTAGGGGCCCTCCTGCCTGCCCACCAGGCCTTGTGACAAATGCCCTCCGACAGCCGGGGAACCACAGCTGTCACCGGAAGGCTCCGAGGGTGCGGGCTGGCGGCCAGAGGCCTGTGGCTTCAGGGGCACCTCTCCGGGCTGGTAACCTCATTATCTCTGCTGTTGGAGCAGGAGCCCCGGGGAGCACAGCTGCTCTCAGCCGCATGTTGGAGGAGCTGCCTGCTGTGGAAGCTGTGCAGGGGGAGGCCTCTCCTGCCAAAGGAGGCCTTGGGGGCAGTGGGCCTGGAGATTCACTTTCACCACTCCAGTGAAGCCTTCTTCCAAAGCCCAGCCTGGGCCCTGCCGCAGTGCTTAGGCACAGATGGTGCCTTTGTGCTAGCAGTCTTTCCCTCTCTGGCCCCAGAGTAGGATTAGAGGAAAATAATGAGAAGAAAAGAAAAAGAAAATCATAGTCTGCCCAGAGCTTGCCTGATCATACCCTAAGAAGCCCTTCTCCCCGGAGGCTTCAGAGTTGTGCCTTTGTCCACTCATGGCTCTCATTAGGAAGCTACCTGGTACCTTCCTCTGGTTAGGACGAGGCCCATGTTCCCACATAGCATATGGACTAGGTTGTGTGGGCCACAGGTCTGAGATCCAGATCTGGCTGAGCCTCTGGCTTCCTGGATTTTCTTTCTGTGGAGGACACATAGCATGTGTATGTCCTCACCTCCCTGTGAGGACACTGAAGTTACATCAAACAGCGTGTCTGACCTCAGCCACAAACACCCCCCACTTGCTGTAGGACCCAAGGATGGGAGAGGACAGGGTAGGCCAGCAATGCTGGAGACAGTGGGGCCAGCTGTCATCTGCTCTGCTCTGCTTTGCTTTTAATTGATATTCGACCTTGAGCAAGGTGGCAGCATTCCTCTCTGCACTGGACACCCTCATCTGTCAAGTGGAGAGAACACCTGCCCTTGGCCAGCCTGGCCGGGGAGAGCAAGCTCCACAGAGAAACATCTTGTCAGGGGGAGGTTGTGGGCTGCTGTTACTGCTGTAACCCGGCGCAGGTGGTATGTCACGTCTGGAGACAGCTTTGGAAGGGGGCGCCTGTCATTCCTGCAGCTCTGGACTGGCTGGGGCAGCAGCACATCTGGTAGGTGAAGTGGCTGCTAGAGGACTCTTATTATTATGAAAATCGAGCCATTTGCCCACTTGGTTTGGGTCCAGCTTAATGTCTCTCGGCCCTGAGTCTGTGAACCCTGTGCTGATGTCTGTCAGGTTTGGATTGGGACTGAGGCAAGAAAACAGTGGGATTTGTAAAAATGTCTTTCTCCCAAAGGATGGAGCTATGAGGGTCAGCACCCAGGTGCCGCATGAGCTCAGGGCAGTGCCGAGTGTGCCGAGTGGGTTTGTGTGTGGGTGCCGGGAGACAGAAGGAGACAGGGCGGTGATGCATGGAGAGACCGTCTGTCTGGGCACAGGCCCAGCCCCACACCCTCAGGCCCTTTCCTTCTCCTCCCCCAGACAACTCCTGCTGTCTGGCCCAGGGAAGAAACAATAGAATAATCTGGAGACTTCCCTGCGCTCTTCTAGATCCTCTTGTGTCTCTGCCTCCAGTCCCTGAGCAGACGTCCAAGGTTAGGCCAGCCCCCCATCCCTGACTGGAGCGGCTCAGGGCCATTCCCTGAGTGGCCTCTTCCCGCTGTGTGGGAGCTGGAGGGGGAGGCTGAAGGTGCAGGGCTTTTCCTGGCAGAGCTGCTGCTCGACACTGTTAGAGCCCACCTAATCCATGTTATTTTCTTCTAATCCCTCCCCTGCCTGCCCTGGCCTGTGTGCCACCCCGTAGGACTTTTGGTCCCAAGCCGGAGGCCGTGCTGAGCACCAGGCATGAGGAAGCCAAACATCTGCTGCAGCATCCCCGCATGAAGGCCAGGACCCGGCCCCTCCGTGCCAGCCATGATATTGTGCCTGCCATTGCTCAGGGCAGCCGGTAAGTGGGACCCAAGCCAGGCTGGCCTGGGAAGGCTGTGCAGGGAAGGGTCAGCAGTGAGAAGAGATAGACTCTAGCCAAAAATGCTACTCCTCCCTTCTTCTTTCTGTATAGGTTTTCTGTGTCAGGAACTTGCTATGACTCTTTAGTCAGTCAACAGCCCTTTATGAAGGCTTAGTGAGTATCACGAATTGAGATGCAAAGATGAATCAAACGTGATGGGGGTCCCTGGAGACATGGAGATCACAGTCTTCAGGGAGAAAGACAGCCAAACAGGTTCTCAGTTCTGTGGACTATGGTGTAAGGGAGAAAAATATGCATTCCGAGCTGGAAACCCATACCACCTAGAAAGGACAGGTGAGACTCTCCAGAGGAGATGGCTTCTCAGGAGAGGCCTGTAGGAGACATAGGTGTTCACTGGGCAGATGAGAGCAAGTGATGGAAGCCATGAGCAAAGCACTGTGCAGCAAGCCTGGAGTGGGAGGTGTTCTGGGCTGCAGGCCGTGAAGGCTGGAGAGCTCAGTAGAGCCACTCATGGAGGCCTCTTGTGACGGGCAGGAGCTTCAAGGACTTGAAGCAGGTGAGTTACATGGTGGCATCTGCATTTCAGTGGCACCATCCTGGCTGCAGGGATATGTTGAATCCAGGAGCCTAGGACAGAGAGGAAGTTGCAGCCTTGAGCCTGGTGGGAGAATTTGGAGACTTCAGATGAGCCCCAGGAAGCAGACACAAGCCAATTAATGAGGCAGCAGAGAAATGATAGCTCAGAAGCAGACCACACAGATTTGCATTCTGGCTCGGCCACTTACTGATCTGTGTGCCTTTGGGGAAGTCTGTGCTTCAGTTTCCTTATCCTCAAGCTGGGAGTTACTGTAGTGCCTGTCTTCCAGGGTTGTTGTGGGGGTTATGTGAGCTGACCGACAGAAGGTGTTTGGAGCAGTGTCTGGCACGCGATGAGTGCTATCGGTCTGTTAGCTCAAGCTATCAGTCATTTGATTATCTGAATGTGGGGGGCAGGAATTCTCCTGGGGGCATCCGGGAAGAGCCAGGGTTGTGAGGGTGTCTGGGGGTTGGGAGGGCCTAGGCACAGGGTCAGACTGTGGAAGGGAGGTGCTCCACAACATCCCCTGGAGACAGCCACCAGGCAGTTGGATATAGGATCTTTAGAGTACAAATTTGGGTATATCCCTGACTTCATGACCCTGGAGCAATGAGGGTGAGCTCATCAGGGATGAAGATACAGACACATGATCTTAGCCAAAAGGCCGAGAAGCGATGGATAAAGATATAGAAAAAGAACAGGGCAGGGGCTTTCAGAGACCAGCACATCACACACATGACTGCCCCTGAGTAACAGAGCCCACCTCCATCACTGTGCCTGGTTTGTAAGTGGCACCCCTTAAAGAGCTGTATCCAGGTGGAGCTCTCCAGCACACAGCCAGCCTCTGTGGGGCTCCTGGGCCTAAGATGAGGCTGCTGTGCCCTGACAGATCTTACCAGGCCTGAGTAGACCCACCTCTGCAGATGACAAGGCCTGTGACTTCACTGGGACGGGGGACACACTGTATCTGCCCATCTCCATCTCCACATGGCACTGGAGCAAGTGAGGACTTATTAAAACTGGACCGCATGCTCTTAGAATGCTGAGGCCAACCATTAAAGGTTAAGGGCCTTAATGGAACCCCTGATGATTCCATCATGAGCAGAGGCTGCTGTGTTCAGTGCCATTGTGACCCGTAGGAGACCCTAAATCCTGATAAGGGGTGCCCAGCAGGCTATCCTTTTATTTCCACATTTTGTGCCTATCTCTCTTTCTGGCAGAGGGCACTCATTAGGAATGACATGGCTTCTTTGAGGGATCCTAACTGTTCTTCTTCACATATACATGAGGAGAAGGCTTAGACTTCCAAGGAATTCTGTCCCACTTTCTATAGGTATTAGATTGGATCGGGGGGCCCACAAAACAGGCAAGCCTATCTGCAAAACAGACTTTAGTGTGCAAATGCCCTCTTGGACACCTCCTTGTTATCCGAGTCATCCCACCACCTCACAACAGCCCCAATCTCTATTATGAAGTAGGTTCTTTTTTCCTGGCCATAGAAATGCTATAAAAATGCAAGGTGACCCACTTTAGCAGCTGCTGTGTCCAGAAAAGAATTACTATGCCTTGGCAGTGCTGGTGAATCCTCAGAGGGTTAGCTGAAAAATCCACACCAGATGGCTTGCTGCAGCTGCTTCTAAAGGTTATGCTCCATCAGCTCGCCCTGGAGGGCCAGGCAGAGTTAATACAGCGATGCCACATGGGCCCCAGGCCTCAGCTAGATACCGGAACTACCAGCCTGGATGTATCACTTCCTCCAAAAAGCAGCTTGGCAAGAGGTGATGGAAGAGGAGGGGCAGACAGAACAGTGTCTAGAAAGCTCGTGCATGCATGTGTGTGTGTGTGTGTGTGTGTCTGTGTGTTATTCAGGCCATTGAACTCATGGCCTTTGCACTGAGCTGCACCCCTAAACCCCCTTTTTAATTTTTTGAGAAAACTTTTGCTAATTCTCTTAAGTTGCCCAAGTTGCTAAATTGTTTAGCCTGTGCTTGAATTTTCCATCCTCCTTCCTTGGCCTTCCTAAGATTTCAGGTGTGTGGTACCACATCTGGCTAGGACACCAGCTTTGTGGCAGGCACGGGGGATGCAGAGCTGAGGAAAACATGGCCCTACCCTCTTAGAAGCATTCTGGAAGTAGAAGCCTTCTTTATCCAGAGTCTGGGTGAAGGCACTCTGGGTGAGCCTGCACATACAGGCCTTTTCCAGGAGTTGAAGAGGTGGAGGTAACTGCATTCAGACTCTACCGTCTGAGAAAGACTTTCCAGTCTAATCTGACCCTCACCTTTCCCAAGGGCACATAGCCCCGGAGCCAACCCCTTCATTTCAGGCACGATAATCCACAATCCTGCTCTTACAATTCCTCTGGAAACCTGGCCATCAGCACACAGCCAGGTAAGGGCAATTCCTACCTAAGAGTAGAAAGCTTGGCCACTATCTTGAAAGCCTGTTCTCTGAAAGTCATTAGCTCAGTAAGTGGGGCACAGGAAGGAAGTGGCTGTGTGCTTTCCCTCCCTGGGCCTTGATTTCCCTGTCTACAAGCAGACCCACTTCTACCCTGTGAGTGTGGGTCTTTAGCCACATCACCTACTGTGGGTTGGGGGTCCCAGAGTGCCTCTCCCTGGGGAGTCCACAGGACAGAAGTTTGGCCCTCAAGGAGCAGCAGAGCCCACAGGGAGCTAATTGTTGGAGAACAGCAGAGTGGCACTAAGTAGTATTGACCTGTGTAAGATGATGGCCATGTGAGCGTATAGAGCTTGCGCACATCATATTGATCATGTGGGGAGGACAGCGCTGTTGTAGAAAGTGAGACCCCGAGAGGAGTTCCTCACAAAGGCCACACAACTGCAGAGCTAGCACAGAAGCCTGACCTTGGACCAGAATCCTTTCTTGAAGGACGGTTACTGAGGCTTTGAGAAGCTTGACAGCCATGGAGTTTGCTTGCTGCTTGGCTGCCTCATGGGCTCTGCTCCTGGCTCCAAAGTCCTCGCCCCACTTCGCACACTGTTGCTAACACTGCAAGGCATGGGGATGTAATAATGAGGTTGATGACACCAGACACCTTACATGATTAAGCTGTCCTTCACTTTTCCTTTTAGATCACAAATGTTTCTCCCTTTAGAGTGAATTCTGGGATGGCTGAGTTCATGATCTTGTATGTAAAGGTTGAGAGGATCTGATTCTCTTTTAGATTATGGTTGTATGGCCTTGAAAACTAGCCATACGGCCAGGTTTTTTTCTTACCAGAATTTATAGCCTATGTCCCTCCAACAGAGCAGGGCATTGGCCCTGGGGCCTGTGGAGAATGGGGTTTAAGCTATGTGCAGAATCTCCAGTGGGCCTTGCTTGTGTGGGAAGGACCTGGCTGGCAGGGTGTCCTGCCCGAGCACTAAGGGTAGGGCTGCTGCTTGGTAGGGTACCTCTTGTTTCTTGGGGATGAGGTTGCTACCTCTCAAAGTCCCTGCTGGCTCTAACGTCTTTGAGTCTGTGAAGGCAACTGAATGATGCAGGTGGTCGTGGCGGCCTTCACTCACTGCCCGGTGGCAGTAGTCAGGGTTTTCCTGAGAAACACAACCTCCAGCATGTGCACACAAGGGAATTCACTCGCACACTTTCGGGGCACTGGTAAATCCAGAATCTTTGGATGGGAGAGCCAGGGAAGAGCAGCAGGTGAGCCCAAAGGTGGTCTTTACTGGCAGAATTCCTTCTTGCTCCGGGGAGGTCAGTTTAATCTCTTCAAGCCTCCAACTTGATAACATGAGACCCATCCACATTATGCAGAATGATCTACTTTATTCAAAATCCATCAATTTAAATGTTTATTTTATCCCTCTAAAAAAATCTTCATAGAGGGCTGGGGATTTATCTCAGTGGCACCGCACCTGCTTCATAAGCGCAAGGTCCTGAGTTTGATCCCTGGTACCAAAAAAATATATATATATCTTCATAGAAACTTCCAAGATAGTTTTTAATCAAGTATCTGGATATTACAGACTGGTCAAGTTGACACATAAAGCTAACAGTCACACATGGTATCTATACAATAGGTAAGTTTTAATACATAGGAGTCAAATCCAGGCGGGCTAGGGGAGATTCCAGGAAATGACAGGAGGGCCAAATGAGGTGGACAAGGCAGGCAGTATGGAAACCCTCCCAGTGGGTGGGTGGGGACAGAACTGAAGAGGAAAGTAGGGAGGACTGTGAAGGACCTGTCTTTTCATCTCAAAGACCATCCCCTTGTCCTGTGCCCTCTTTGGAGTGGTGTGACAAAAGCTACATAGCAGGAGAAACTGCAGAAAGCAGGTGGATGGAGTGCCTGGATAAGAAGTCATTGCAGGATGCATGCTAAAGAAATGATAAATGAGAGAAACAAAAGGGTCCCCCAAACACTGAGCAGTAGAATGGTGGGGAGGTGGCTGGGGGGAAAAGGCAGGGCAGAGTATAGGCTTTATTTAAGTGGATTTTGATAGGAAATAGCCTTTGGGCCTGGGCCATGTGCATAACGACCCAAAACTCAGGCTACCTGGATCCAGAGATTTGTGTATGGTAGGGGTAGCTTCTAAAGCTGAGCAGCCTGAGCTAATGATACATGTGAAGACCGCCCAGCCCAGCCGTGCTGTGCAGCAGGAGCAGAATGTTGAAACAGGCCAGGTGGGAGGTGTTGGAACATCGAGACCCAGAGTCCGAGGAGGAACATCAGTGTCTCTGTGTCCAAGCAAGATGATTAGGAGTACTGAGTGGAAACTTTGGGTCACGAATGCTTAGGATGCTGGGTGCAGTGCAAGATTGAGGCCGGGCTGGGTAACTTAGCGAGACCCTTTCTCAAAATAAAAAAGGGCTGGGGATGTAGCTAAGCATCCTCTGGGTTCAATCCCCAGTAACAACACACACACACACACACACACACACACTCACACACACTCACACACAATGCTCAGAAGTCTCAGCCAGTCCCTATGGAGACCTAACATACCCTCCTCCCATGAGGGCTTTATATTGCATACAGTTGTCCCTCAGTATCCATGGGGGACTGACTCCAGGACCCCTCTCAGACTCCAAAATACCTGAACCATCAAACCCTTATATAACATGGTGTAGTATTTGCATATAACCTAGGCTCATCCTCCTGTACACATTAGCATTATAACACCTAATACAATGCAAATTCTGGGTAATCATTGCTATGTTATATTGTTTAGAGAATAACAGCAGGAATAAAAAGTCTGCACATTCAGTGCAGAGGCAGTTTTTCTCACATATTTTCACTACATGCATGGTTGGTTGAATGCACAGATGTGGAACCCACGAATAGAGAGGCTGACTGTACATATTTCCACAGTTTTTCACTACCAGAAACACACAGTGGTCAGATCATTTTTTCTCACTGCACACATGGACGCGTGCACACACACACACACACACACACACACACACATACCTCACATATAAAATGTTCAATATCTTCCTTCAGTACAGTCCTGAGTTCAGTAACTCTGGCTGAGACAGGCAACCGAGGGAAAGCCAAAAGCAAAGGTCATGTTGATTTTATTTAGCACTGTGTGCCAGGATCAGGGTGGGCTGGTATTCTGCTGTTTACCACTCAACTTCCCAGGAGTCTGGTTTGGTGTGGCCCGGTGGGTTGTACCTCCCACGCAGCACCATGGGAGATGGTGTCCTTCTACCTGTGACCTCTCTCCTTGTCCTTCATTAGAGATGGCCGGAGAAGTCCAGCCCTGGGCCCCAGGATGACCTTGGCCTGCAGAGACAGCCCCCAGAGCGGGAGCCTGAGTGACTCTTCCAGTGGGGAATCCGGCAGTGGGCAGTGGCCCAAACAGGGCATGTCCACATCGCATGTCCGCTTTGAGGATGAACCTGCTTTTGAAGCTGAGTTTCGTCACCTGAAGCGGCTGCAGCAGCGCCAGCGCCAGGTGCTGAGCACGGAGCTGCAGGCTGTGGGCCAGGGCCCCCTGCGCTCCAAGCCGGACCTCGCAGACTACATAAACCAGAAAGTGGGGATGGGCGCATTCCACAGGCTGGGGGACAGCCGGGACTGCAGAGGCCTCCCTCTGCCCCCGCCCAGCTGGGCCAGTGAGAGGAAGTACCAAGAGTGTGGCCTCTGTCCTGACAGCCAATGCCCAGACCCGCGCGTCCCCCAGGAGCTGCAGGCTGCCCGGGGGGTGGAGGGCGTGCTGCACGTGTCCCACAGCTCCAGTATCCTGAGCTCCCCATTCAGGCTCCTCCTCGCTGATCCAGGGCTCGACACAGAAAGGCTCCGGGGAACACATATTGGAGAGACTACCACATGCCCTGAGGAGGGGGACTCTGCCCTGAATAGTGCAGACACCTCTGATGGCTGCCAGACCGGCAGTGAGGAGGCCAGGACCTCTCTGCCCATCAAAGCAAGCAGGCAGACTCAAGGCAGTAGCCCCAGACAGTGGGACTCCAGGCCTCAGGGAGGCCTCGGGCAGTCCAGGAAGGTCAAGACAGAGCTGCACGGTGGCCTTCCGGCCTGCCACTCACTAGGGGTAGAAGACACGGAGGTGGGAGATGAAGTAAAAGAAATCACAGGCTACACGCCTGTGGGGACTCAGTTTCTGAAAGAAGATGCCATCCCTAAGCCTCCTGCCTTGGAACCTGAGATGGCTGCCTTGGAGTCCCAGAGGCAGCCTGGATCAGGGCTGGGAAGTCACCAGGCTCACCCTGTGGACCCCTGGGCTCCATGCAAACTACCCTATGCTACAACATCTTCCCTGAAGCTAGCACCTTCTGAGCCAGGCATAGCAGATCAGGTTACAGAAAGCCATGAGTATCTGGAAACGATCCATACTTCCTCCCTGCAACAAAATCATGCACAACCCGCTGCCCCCAACCGAACCCAGCACCCAGCCACTTCCCCCTCCCCTGAAGCCTGGGTAGCATCAAGAACCACCTCCCCTGTGCCTCATAGGAAGGCAGGGCTGGCTGGACCCTGTAGGCCAGGGGAACAGGAAGAGCCCGTGGGTAACCCCTTGCCACTGCCTCCTCCAAGAACTCCTCTCAGGACCTGTGGGCTCAGCTCCCCACAGACCCAGCCCTGCATCCCCCAAGCCAGGCACCCACTGCTGGGCCTGTCTGCCAACTGCAACAGCTGCATTCCTCTGGGACAGCAGGAGCCCTGGGGAACAGCTGTCTACAGGGGCAGGGAGAAGAGGGTCCCCTGCAGCCAGAAGCCAGATCCACCCTTGGAAAGCAGCAGAGATGGTAAGGCTTGCAATTGGTCCCTGCTCAGCCCCAGATCAGGTTTATGACCCTCAAGGCATTCCGTCTTCACTTACCTTTCATCTTAATGGCCAGATGACACAGACACACACCACTCCCACAGCGCCTTGGAGCTGGGCAGAGCAGTGATGAGTGCTGGGCAGCTGGTAGAATCTAGGCTGGATACAGGACTGTGGGGCAGAAGGTGGAGATGCCCTCCTAGGGAACTGGGAACCCCAAGGGTGTATGGAGGCAGGTACAGAGCTCCTGCAGGGTGTGGCAGGGCTGCCTGGCCTGAACCCTCCTGACCACTGCCCTGCTGGGCTTGCTGCGAGGTTCACAGGGAAGGCTGCTGAAGGGGGTAGGGTGTCACTTCTTTATCCTAGGTGTTGGCAGACCCAGGTTTGGGTCCCCAACAATGCGGTCCCAGGTGACCAGGTAGACCACTCACTCCTAGGCAGAGATAACAGGCCCAGCCTACACAATCTTGCTTTGCTGTTCCGTGGCTCTGATGGCCTTGGAGCTGGGGTCCAAGCCTTGGAGCAGAGTGGAGGTGAGGGCAGAGAGATGACGGATAATAATGATCTCAGTGAGGGTGCCAATGCCAAGATCCCCACCTCTGAGTGCCCCCCACTGTCCCTCTCCCTCCCTTCTCACAAAAACTCCAGGGAACTATCCTGGCCTGAGGTGCCTCTCACCGGGCTCAGCTGTGGCTCCTTCTCTATGAGGGGCTTAGGCTGGGGGCTGCTTGCCCCTAACCGCTCCCTGTTGGGCCTCTGTCCTGAGACCTGGTGACTTCTGGGCAGTGCAGGCCTGTACCTCCTTGAAGCCTGGAGCAGGGAGTGAGGTGAGGCTCCTCTCATTAGTGAGGCCCCGAGTGAGTTGCTTACTTCCTCAGAGCTCCATCCCCTCTGCAAAGTGAGGATGGAAGGAAGTCTCTCTCTTGAGAAAAGCATGCATCCATCTCAGTGGGGGGAGTTAACTCAGGGCCCAGCACGTACAGATGCTCCCGAAATGGTGTTGTTATCAAAGCTATGAGAAATTAAGATTGTGTTCTGCCCCAAGAATATAAAATATTTCCCTGCTCTACTATGTCACTTGATATAGAAGGGGCTTGGGCTTGAATTATCACAAGCAACCTGATCATTTAACAAAACGTGCTAATCATTTACTGTGTACCAGGTGCTATGCTGGGTGATGGGGTCAAAGCAGTCCATAGGACCCAGTCCCTGTCCCCAAATAGCTTCCAGTCCAGAGGACACTCGGGGAGGGGCCTGGAGTCCCAGTCATCTGCTGCTTCCTGCCTCTGTCCACTGCCTCCTGGGCTCCACCTCTCTCTTGCATCCCTCACTCTTTTGTTTCTGAGCATGGAGGTCCCTTTCTCCCACTGTGACTGTGGGGATGACCAGTCTCACACAGGAGGGATGCTCTGACTTTCAGGAGGATGCCAATGCTCTCTTGGCTTAGCAGATGTTGCCGTCTTCAACTCCGTGGGCATCACCCTCTCCCTGACATCAGAGGAGCCTGAGTCCTGCCAGGAAGCCGAGGAAGGCCTGCAGAGGATGGAGTCCAGTTCTGGGAGCCACATGCTGTCCGGGTGAGTGGCAGGAGCAAGAGTCCTCAGCACAGGAGGCAGGCGGTGCTGGGTGGGGACACCTCTGAAGTGATAGCATGACTGACCTCACTGCTTCCACTCGAGCTCAGAGATCACGTGTGAGCCTGGAACTCCTAACTCTTCTTTCCCAGCTCTTATTCTGATGTGCCTGCTTATCCATCTGCTGAGCACCCTGGAATGACCACTATGTGGGCATGGGGCACAGCTGCCCTCAGGGTGCCCCCCAGGGGACTTGCCTGTCTGGGAGCATTTGCTCCTGACCCTGGACTTGGGAACATCCAGATGCTGAGGAAACTGAGCCCAGCATTCATGTTTCCCTTCTCTCCTTCAGCTGAGTCCTTGCCCTAGGGACCCCCTCAGGCGGACCTCAAAGCCTCGGTGAGCCCAGGGCCTTCTCTTCCCTGCTACACCTCCTATGCCCAGGGACCACATGCAGTCCAAGGCCTCCCCTGCCACCCAGAGCCAGCTCCCCATCTTCAGGCCTGTGGTGCTGCTCAGTGCTACGGGACTGTTCAGCCAGAGCCTGCTGGACACCTGCACCAAGCTATCTGGCAGCCCCTCAACAAGAACTGCCACATCCATCCACACAGTGCTCAAACCCTGAGGCTGCTCCCTCACGTCGACCCTGACCACCACCAAGTCCTTGCCAGCTCCCAGTGCCCTCCCCACTATTCTGTCTAAGCTCTGTTCCTTCTTTGCTGTACACCCTGACACTGCTCTCTGCCTTCACTTCGGTCCCCTGCTCTTCCTTCTCCACACAAAAGTCAAGGCCATGTTAATTAAATGGTACCATTTTCCTACTTCAAACCCTGCAGTGTTTTTCCCTGCAGTGGAGTAGAATTGAAGCCCCTCACCATGGGGCTGTCACATCTTGCCTTGTTTGGTGCCTCCCTGAATCCCGCTCCAGATCTCATTGCCTTTGCCCAAGCCCTGTGGTCTGGCCTTTGTTCTTAAACATACCAAGCCTGCTGCTGCCCTGACAGAGCCACCGAGTGCTCCCTGTGCCTGCAGTTGTCACCTCCAGGCTTGGCAGCCTGACTCCTATTTATCCTTCAGCTCCATCTCGGGGAGACCTTCCCTGGCCCCTATTTAAAACAATCACCTCTCTGCTTCACCCCACAGCCAGTCACTGATGGTTTTCTTCCTCTGCTGACTGGTCTCTTGTTGGTAAGCTCCTGAGAGCAAGGACCTTGCTTGTCTTACACACCACATACCCAGGGACTAGAGAGGATGGTACATAGGAGGCCCTTAAGAAATATGGAACAACAAAAAAGAAATATGGAATGTGAGCCGGGTGTGGTGGCACAGGCCTATAATCTCAGCACTTGGGCAGCTGAGGCAGGAGGATCTCCACAAATTTGAGGCCGTGTAGTGAGTTTGGGCTACATAGTGAGTTCAAAGCCAGCCTGGACTACATAGCAATACCATGTCTCAAAAACAAAACAAAACAAGAGAGTACAGGCTGAGTGAATGAGTGAATGGGCAGACCCTGAGCTGCATGTTATGGCTGTGTATTATGGCAGGCCGTTGTGTGAGATCTTCTCCCTAGCAGCTTCCTGAGGAGAATCTACTCACCTTCCCTTCCTGCAGCCTGGTTGTCAGTTTACCCACAAGGCATTAGTGCGGGCCCATCTGGGGCCTGTGGGACCTTGGGGTACAGCACCCTGCCCTTGCCTCCCAGCCCGCTCCACCCCAGGTCATGTCCACTCTTGTGTTTCAGAGCATCACCAGGGGCCAGTGCAGGGCCCAGGCCACCCTTGGCTGCCCCTTCTGACAGCAATAAGAAAAGAAGCAGCAGCATCGCCTCCACCCTGGGGCTGAAAAAGCTCTTCTCGGCCCTGGGTCAGGCTTCTCGGCCCAAGTTGGGCAAGTCCCGCAGCTACAGCGTGGAGCACCTGCAGCCTGATGCACCTGGCTCAGCTTCACACACCAGTACCCACAAAGTAAAGAGAGCCCCATCGTTACAGTCCTTCCATCTGGTGAGTTATCAGGCAAGGGGTGGTGAGGCCAGTGGTATGGCACCAAGGGGATGAAGGGCGAAAGGAGAGAAGCAGCATTGAGGATGCTTCTCAGGGAGCCCCCGGTAAGAAAGGGGAGCTACTGGCACACCCACAGCTGACCCAAGCAACTCAGGCTCCCTGCAGCACCCCTCAGTTCTGTCCTGCCCAGCTGCCCAGGCCCGGGCTCACTTGAGGTTTCTCCCTCCCTGTCTCCTTCCATTTTGCTGCCTGCACCAAGTCCAGGAGAGTTCATGGCCTGGTCATTCTGGAGCCTTCTCTGTGGCCATAGTGACTCTTTTAGTAGTGGCACAAATCACATCACACTGGGATTACCTCCGTGCCCTTCTTCACGTGGCTTCCGTACTGTTCTTTCTGATATGCACCAGCCCCTTGCTGAACGTCTGTCATTGGTTACTCACTTGATTCAGGATGAAACTGAGACTGTTCCGTGTTGCCAGAGGGCATCTAGGAGCTGTGTTTCATCTCTCATCTCTCTCCTTTGACATCCTCAGCCTCACCTCTGCTATCAGATCACACACTGAATCTTCAGGGAAGCACTCCTCCCACCTTCTCCACCTGCCCACACCTGCTCATCTGTCTGTACTTCAGGCATGCCGCCCTCAGGAATTGGGCCCAGTCCCTCCTCGTGCTGAGCATGTTGCTAACTCACTCTGCTTCCTTTCTTCATGGAACTTGTCACATAGTATTTTAATCAACTTCTGTCTCTCCCCTCACTGGAGTGTAATTCCTTGAGGGAACCCTACTTGACCGTTACTGTCTCAGTACTAATTACAGTAGCTAGTACCCTATGGGTACGCAGTACACCTGGGGTGTAAGAGTGTGTGGGGGTGAATGCAGGGCAGCTCACTAAGTCCCCCGTCCTCGTGTGCCCGTCTCGGCAAACCAAGCGCACCACATGGACTCTCCAGCAGGGCTCTGGGAAGCCGGTTCCAGTAGTTTCCAAATAGATTCCTCTGTCTCCTGTGTCTCTCCTTGGGCAGAATGAGACAGGTGACTGTGGCCTGGGCCACTGGGGCCTTTCATTTCTCAGGCTGTAGGGGAAGAGAAGGTGCCAGAGTGAGACTCCAGGAGAAAGAATCCCCAGGAAAAAAGGAGAATCTGTCTCATGTAGAAGGATTTATGACATGCCTCGGAGTAAAATACTTCCTGGTAGCGTCTTATGCTACCACATGTTGTTAGGTGACATAGGTGCTTCACTGGTTTGGTTTTTGTTTTGTCCCCAGGTGAGCAACCACCTGCCGTTACTCTTGACCATCCCAGTGGCTCCCATGTCCTCTTGCGGCCTGTGGCTCTCACCCAGGGGCCTCCGAGCCGGTGTCGGAAGCCTTCCCTTCTCTCCCATGCCCCGGGGCATCTTCTGCTTTTCCTTTAGGCCTGACTTGAATGTGACTTCTCCAAGGAAGACTTCTTGGGTCAGATACACAATCAGGCTGCCTCTCGGGCTGCTGGATAATACGCCTGCCTTCTTTAGAGCACTTTTCAGTCTATTTGTTCTGCTGTTACAAAATTCCACAGACTAGGTGACTTATAAGCAACAGAAACTTATTCCTGACAGTTCTGTAGGCTGGCAGAGTCCAAGGTCAAGGCGCTGGTGCAGTCAGTGTTGGTGAGGGCTGGGTTCCTCGTGGACACCTGTAACCTCACACGGTGGGAGGGGCAAAGGAGCTCTCCTGGACATCTTTGTGCCCCCTGCGGCTCTGCCTTCATGACCTAATCTCCTCCCAGAGGTCCCACATCCTTGGTGACTAGGTTTTAACATATGAATTTGGAGGGAACACCAACATTTGGACTACAGAAGCACAGATTCTAGACATAATAATGTGGGTAACACTTGTTTAAAGGTCTATTCTTTCTGCCTCTGTCTCTACCACCGCAGCCCTGCCTTCAGAATTGCCTCCTCGCTGGGGTGTTTTCTAGAGCACAGACTGATCCTGCCCTGCTTATTAACATCACTCAGTAGCTCCTTAGCAGGGCATTAAGTCCGTCGGGGATGCCCCTGCTCCTGGCCCATCTCCCACGACCCCATGGCCTCACCACCCAGAGCACATGTGTGTTTCAGGACACACCGTTCGGAAACGTGCATCTCTTGCCTCTCCATGGCTTTGCACATGCTGTCCTTCTGCCTGGAGCACTTGTGCCTCTCTCTACCTGGGGAGTTCTTGCTTCAGTCTCCCCCAAGTGCCAGCTCCTCCAGGGTCCCCAGGCCTCCTAAAGTGAAGTCTCTCCTTCCTACACACCATCTGCAATTTTAACTGAGCACCTACTACAGGCACCTGGAGCTTCCAACTGACCTGTGCTCATCCCTGCTCTTATCATTTTTGAACTCTCCGGGGGACTTTTGACTGGTTCAGCTTTTTATATACAATGTTTTAAGGTATACACCACGCATAAAAATTTTTGAACAGATGTGACCATCCCAGAAGGAATGCTAAAGAATGCTAAAGATTCATAAAATATTCAAGATTTTAAATTTAAAGTGTGCTACTCTGTAGTTAATTTGCTTTCATTTTCTTCTTAGTAAGAAAATTAGATTTTCCTACAATAATACAATTAGTATTTTAATATTAAGTTGTTATTTTGGCTAAAATTTAAAAAAATCAAAACGCTGATGCTTCCCATTATCTGTGTAACCCTCTCCTGGAGTAAGTGTTCCTGCCAAGCACTTGGGAGTAGTGACCGAAGTGGCCCCAGGATCGTGGGGCTATGTCCTCTGCCAATCCCTTCCCAGGTGACTTTTCTCACCTGCAATATTGGGCTTTCCCCACCAGGTGTCACCTTCCCGCCAACATCGGAAAGCTGCCTCCTTTCAGAACCTCCATTCTCTGCTGAGTGGCAGGGGGGACCGGTCCAGCCTCTACCTGGTAGAGGGCCCAGGGTACCCCAGTGCACCTGGCAGGTAAGCATGGGCACAGATGCTCTGGAAGATAAACTCAGAGGGTGACCAGTGGAGCTAGAAGTTAGTTCCTTGCTACCTCTGCATTACTGCACGCTATGAGGAAGTGAGAAGCTAGGTGTGGTGGCTTCTCACTCTAGGAGGCTGAGGCAGGAGGATCCCAAGTTTGAGTCCAGCCTGGGAAACTGAAGAAGATCTTGTCTCTAAAAGATAAAGAGGGCTGGTGATACAGTTCAGTGCAAACGGCTGGGGTTCAATCCCCAGTACTACAAAAAGGGGCGGGGGTGAGGCACTACCTGTGCCTTCTCCCTCATCAAATCCCACGTGTGGAGACCGGTGGCCCAGGAGGCTTGGAGTGACTCCTTAGTGCCCTCGCCCTGTGCTGAGGTGAGGTTGTCGAGAGGGGGAGGGCAGGCTGGCAGGTTGGAGCCTCTCTCCTTCTGCTGTCTGGTGATATCCCGAAGTCAGAAAGTTTGGGGAGCTCCCTTAGCCCAGCTGAAGACGTAGGTAAACACCCTTGCCCCTTGACCTCTGCCGGGGCCATCTAAACCAGCTGCCCTTACCTGCGGACCTCCGGACCTCCGGATGGACCTGGAAACTATATGAAGTTGGAGCTTCTGTCAGATCCCCGAAAGACTCCACCTAAAACGTTTAGAGGCCACATTCTACGTATGGAGCTTTCTGGTCCTGTGGCTGGCTCGGAGGCACCTCAGACAGATGTGAGAACCCGCCCGCCGCCACCTACAGTGCCTTGTAGCTGGCTGGGTCAGTGGTGCCCCAGCCTCCAGCGCTCCGTCCTCTGAATGTAAGCAGTGGAAGGCTGGGCCCCCGTGCCCGGCCCTCGGCCCTCACTGTGTCTCTGGTCGCCCCCGCAGGCCGGCCAAGGCCCCGCCCCGGCGCGCCCTCAGCGTGGAGGACGTGGGTGTCCCCAGCCTGGCTCGCACTGTGGGCCGCGTGGTGGCGGTGTTCCCGGATGGCACGAGCCAGCTGCAGCTGCAGCGTTCCCCCGAGGGCACCTTTGGCTTTCGTGTGGGCTCCGGGAATGGGCGCAGGGACTCAGGTAGGCACCCTCCCCATCCTTAGTGGGCCCCTGCAGGGTCAGGCGTTGCCTGGTCCTTTGTCTGAGCTAGGCGCTTTGAGGATTCAGAAAGCCCCTGAGCTACAGGGCCTCCTGGGGGAGCTCCTCTGGGAGTCGGCACTGTGACAGCCCTGGCAGCTACAGCTCTGAGAGGTGCTGCCTGCTGCAGGGCCAGAGCTGGCAGGGTTGACTCCACTGTCCCCTCCTGTCTGATGGCATCCTGAGAGCAGAATCTGCAAGGCCGCCTTTCCGCCTTTCCTGGGACCCAGGGGAACTGCCTGTGCTTGCGGCCTCAGCTCGCCCTTTGATGTGGTCGGTGCGCTGCAGCCGTTCCCTTCCTCCAGCTGCCGGTGTGTCTGGGCATGCGGAGTGTGCCTGCCTGTCTGCGCGTCATGTCCACACCCGCCCCTGGCTGGGTTGCCTCCTGGGTCTTGGTTCAGCATCGGCGGGGCATGGAGGGGCTCTGGGCCTCGTTCTGCACTCCCGCTAGTCCTGTCCTTTTCCTCCACGAGTCCTTCCGGGCAACCTGATCCCCCGGACTTTACCCAAGCGCAGGGCAAAGGACCCGAAAGATATCCCAGAGATGAATGGGGAAGGAGCCAGGCATGCTGGGGGAGGAGAAGGAGAGAGGAGACCGCGCAGGAGGAGGCCTACGCGGAGGAGCCTGTTTGGCTGGGCTCTTCGAGGAGGGTTAGTCCTGAGCTTTGACCCCCTAGTCAGTTTTTTCTCCTAGAAAAGAAAAATCTGCCTGTCGCCACGTTTGCAGAAGGCAGCCTGAGTTCTCTCCTCTGGTGCATATCTCATTGTTTCAGCAGATACGTGCAGAGCACCTACCGAGTGTCATAGATTTGGGGGTTACAGTAACACAGGTGATGGACAAATCCCTGGCCTCCTGAGCACACATGCGAGGCTATGTCTGCAATAAGTTTACCTTTCACATTATTATGTCAGAGAGTGAAATGGAAAGTACTGAGGAGCAAACAAACATGAAGCAGGTGTGGCAGATGCTAGTGTGGGCGGGCTTTTTCAAGAAGATGACACTTGAGCGGAGGTGGGGCTGGAGTGGGGAGGAACCAAGTGGGCATGGGGGGAAGAGCATTCCAGGCAGCAGGAACAGCAGCTGCAAAACCCTAAGGGGGAGAATGAGGCGCAGCTGCTGGAGGAGGTGCGAGGAGGTTGGGCTGGGAGGTAGGCTGGGCCATCCTAGGGGCGCTGCCTTTCTCAGTGAGAAGGGAGTCAGTCACCTGAGGATTTAGAGCAGATTCATTGTGAACAGGGTGGGGGTGGCAGTGTTAAAAACAGACCCCAGTGGGAAAAGGTAAAGCCAGGCAGAACAGTTTTAAAGCTATTTCCTTATTTTAGGGGAGGTATGATGGCAGCTATGGACGTGGTGAGGAAGGGGTGGCTTCTGGTGGATGTGCAGATAGCTTTGGCTGTTTGCTGAAGAACAGCACATCCACATAAGAAGATAGGTCTCCCCCACTCTGGACCTGCGCAGGGTAAAATGTCAGTCTTCACAGGGAGATGACATTTGTGGCACTGTCAGGTATCAGTGTTCTGCCCTACAGCCTCTTGGCAGATCAGAAAAGCCCTCCCAGGCCCACCACCAAAGTCAGTGAGGAATGTGTTCTGTGCTGCCTCTGCTCTGGGGCACCTTGAGCAGGTGACTTACCCCTCTGAGCCTCAGCTCCTGAGTCTATACAAGGAGGACAGCACCACCCACCTGGAAGAGGCATGGGAACATTTGAGGGGGTTCAAAATAAAGTGCCTGGCTCTTTCCTTCCCTTCCTTTTCAGAAGAAGGTATTCAGGGAATAGTCCCGGACAGGGGCCAGCAGGATCACTGTCCGTCTGTCAGCATGAGGCCAGACACAACAGGGTGCTGCATTCCTCTCTTCCACCTCCCCCACAGTCTCTTGGGTGCCCCTCCCCCACCTGTCGGTGAGCTCTGGTGGGCAAGGTCTGAGGACCAAGGGCTCCTGGGGCTCTGTCCTAGCCCTGGTACCTCGGGCGCCTCTTGCTGGCTTGTCTTGCCCAGGTGGGGCCCTGCCACTGCTGCTAGTTGGTGGCTGGACGTCATGCAGAGCTCCCCACGCACAGAGCGAGCAGGTGCTAGTGCACCTCACCTCGACCCTCCTGCAGCAGCCGGGGTCACATCTCTGAGGAGGGTGAGCTGGGGCAGGTCTGGCTCCTTGGTAAAGTGTCAGGATGCTGCTATTAACTTGCTGGCTATCATAATCTGTTTCCATAGGAGCCCATGAGAACATCAGGCTTTGCCTTCTGCTCCTAACTGGCCAGTGTATCCTCACAAAGACTGCCTCCAACAGACAATAAATGCCCACAGCAGACTGTCTGTCATATCTTTGTTATGACTATCAGTTATGAAACCTACCCAAGTCTCCCTAAAATGGCCAGTGATATCAGTGTCTGGTCAGGCTCAGCTGCATTCTGTTGGGTTTATCATTACTGCCCACCTGACTCTCCCGCTGTGCCGCAGACACTTGTCAAGGTTCCCTGGCCCCTCCCCCCGCCTCCCTCTCCCTATGCCACCTGTGTAGACAGGGCAGGCAAGCTGCTGCACCACCTGAGAGAGGAGGGAAAAGGTGGGGCAAAGCCTGAGAGAAAAGGCTGTGCCCCCAGGAGGGAGCAACACTCGGTTAGGGGCACTCAGCCTGAGCTTGGGTAAGAAGCTGTAAAAAGGAGTTGAACACCCAGAGCAGGGAGGGAGAGGGAATGTCTGTAAAGACCGGTTTTGCTAAATAGAGCTGCAGAACGTTGGGTTCCTCTGTGAAGGAGGAGCAGACGCCCATGCACTTGCAGACCTCTGAACTTGTCGTGGCCAGAGCTGAACAGGGTCCTCTGAGGCCTGGTGGGCCAAGCAAGACTGCTCATGGGTCAAAGATGCAGAAAATGGTGTCAGGCCAGAGACTGAGCAGCCAGACCAGATGGCTTTCTGGGGCCCTGCAAAGCACTGACCCTAGGAAAAGGCGGTGGAGCCAGACTGCATGGGCAGTTCTTCCTGTTTCTCAGGCAGAGTCTCCTGAGCCTGGCCTGGGCAGTGGTGAACGGTGAACGCTAAGCTGCTCCAGTGATTTCTGCTGGTGTTGTCAGCTGCATGAAGGTCACAACAACAGATCATCCCCTGCAGTTCTCCAGCAGACCTAGCTGTGCCCTAGACCCCCATGTTCCCTCAGCACAGAACATGGGCAGTAGGCTCCAGTGACTGGAAGACCCTGTGCTGCATTTAATCTCTCAGGTGGGCACAGCTGACAGAATTTGAGAGTCAGCTCCAACCTGGAGCCCTGAGGACATCCCTGAGAAGGAGCCAGGGGACAGATGCAAAGAAGCAAGTTCCCCCAGGGTCAGTCGCACCTTCTAGACCAGGGAATAATTGGCCAGGCAGAACTGTCTCTAGGTGGTGGGGGAAAAGAGGAGAGTAAGCCATGGCTTTTAAGGGTTTTTCCCTAAGTGAGGCACTGTATGTAAGACTGAGCCCCAGGTCAGTCCTGGACTGGACTGTAAGGCAAAAGATTTGGCCTCAGCCATTTTCCCTACTCCAGTGACATTGCCCCACCCATCTCAGCCATTGTGCTATGCCTGGGTTACTTGATGCAGCAACTAGGTCTGTTTATGAGTCCCACCTAGCACAGTACCAGGCACCTGGCAGGTATTTTTTTCTTCATTTTAAAAAACGACTTTCTTTTCTGCAATAAAAGGTCATCTCACAAAAAATGAGCTCATTCACATGGCTACAGATGAATAGCATCACCTTCAAGCATTATTTTCACCAGGGGCATTTCCACTTTAAAAGAGGAGCAGAAAAATGAGGTCAAACCATGGAGGAGACGCACTCTACCTCTGCATAAAGCCAGTTGTGGTTGTGAGGTGAAACGGTGGGGTGTGTGTGTGTGTGTAGCCATGCCTTGTGTGAGCACCCTACCCTCACACTTGGACTGGATCTCCCTGGCGGGCATCTGCAGCACCGAGGGCTCTCACATGGGTTTCCCTGCTGTTTTCCTGTTCCACTTTGCAGGGCTCTACGTGCAGGAGATGGCTGACCTGGATACTGCCAAGCTCTACTCTGGGCTGCTTGGGGTGGGGGATGAAATCCTGGAGGTGAACGGGGCCAAGGTTGCCGGGCTGGGCTTGGCTTACATCAAGGAGCTCCTGGCCCATTCAGAGTGCTTGTCAGTTCGCGTCCTGAGGCAGAGGCCTGTCCTTCAGTGACCCAGAAATGCTGCTGGCCCAACTACCACCCTGTCAGGAGCTCTGAGCCGGCTGGGAATGTGCTGCACAGAGCTGCTTTGTGGACGGAAAGCACAGATCGTGGTGGCATCCAGCCCCTCAGGCTGTGGCAGGACTGCTGTGATTGACTACCCAAGGGATAGGCAAGGAGCCTGTGAATGTATTTTGTTTAAGGCCATTAATTTATGCAGAACTGGGGAAAGAAAATACCGGTCTCTTTCCATACTAGAGATGGTGACATCTACTTGTCCCTTTGGGGGTGGGGGTGGGGAAGAGAGATTCAGGCAGTCCTTTGGTGGGCCTGAGAGCTGGCCTCACCTCCAGGTGCCACTCTTGAAAAGGCTCGCCCGGCCTCCAACACTCCAGACAGAGAGTGGATACCTTGGCCCCGACCGAGCCCTTCCCTTTCAGCCACACTTCTCCTCCCTCTCATTTGCCACCTTTGCTCTTCATCCAGAAAGGGGCAGGCGTCCTGGAGTAGCAGCTGCACAGCCAAGGACCACATATTCCAAACCAAACATCAGAATGCATGCTCTAACCAGAGTTTTATGGCCCTTCTGGATGTAAGAACATGTGGGAGATGTTATCTGGTAGCCAGAATATTAAAAATTTCTAGGAAATTTTCATGATATATAAAGTTAAAGGGGAAAAATAATGAAACCAAAGCCAGTTTCAGAGTGCAGCTGTGGTAGGCAGGACCCGGCCAGTGGGATGGTGGAACCCACTGGCCCCCCTTCTTCCCTCCACCCCTGCCCTGCCCCCTCCCCTCCGCCTCTGCCTGTAGGAGTTGCAGTTCTGCAGCTTGGCCTGGGTCTTTGTTCTCCTGTCCAGCTTGGAGACAGGGCTGCAGCTGGTGTCTGGCTGTCCCCCAGCTGCAGGCTTCCTGTCCAGACCTCCCTGGTGGCAGCTGTGGGTGGGCAGAGAGGCAGCAGGGAGGCTCCAGAGAGCAGGCACTGGCCATCCTGCCTGGGCACTTCCTGCTCTACTACACCTGGATACTGCCCAGAGGGTTGGGACTTTTCGAGTACATAGCTGTGTGTCAGTCTTAAATTATTAAAATGTAAAGCTGAAGCTTCTCCACTCTGAGTTGTAAAATTCTGGGCTCAGTTGACCTTCAGCAGGGGCTGAAAGACACAAATATGTTGGTGGGCGTGCCAGAAGGGAAGGCTGGGGAGGCCCCAGCTGCAGGGTCACAGCCTGTTACATGCAGAAGCCTCCAGAGAGTATTGGGCTGGAAGAGGAGCCCTGGGCAATGTTTATGGTGAGGAGAGAATGAAGCTAAGAGGCCTTGAGAGATGCAGCTGAGGAGAACTCAGCTGTTTGTACCTCCACAGGTTACTGGCTGTGGTCAAAACCAAAACAGGAGCTTCAGCAGAACTGGTTGAAATGAGCATCCCAGGCAGCTCTCATGGGGCAAGGAGGATGCTGAAGCAGGCCTGTGGCTGAGGACAGGCAACGGTGGTGGTGGTGTGCGGGGGTTGTGTTCTCCTGATCCAGGGCCTTGGCAGCAGGAGCCAGGAAACATCCCTCCCTCGTGCTCTGGGACTGGGCCAAGGGCAGGGCTCTAGGAGCCCCAAGCACACAGGATGGGGAGGTGGGAGCTGCCATGGGCTTGGGGAGCAGGGAGGAAGGAACTGTGGCAGGTGGGCAGAGGGGCCAGAGCAGCAAGGGGTTGAGGCTTCAGGCTGTGAAGGGGGTACTGGGAGACACCTCAGACAAATCTCACACCTCAAAGTGTAGAAATGGCCACAGCTGGAAATTACAACTGTGAGACACACACCTCCTGTACTCAAATTCCTGGCCGTAAACTCATGAAATTTCAGTTTGAAAAAAAACATTTCAGGGCTAGGGGTACAGCTCAGTGGTGGAGTGTTTGCCTAGATTGTGCGAGGCCCCGGGTTCCATCCCTAGCGTTGCAAAGGAGGGGAGGGGCTCAAGGGCAAAAGGCACCTCTGTTTTCTGCCTATGGCAAGGGCTGCCTGCCTTCTTACTGGGAAGAAGGTGGGGATCGGGGCTGGGAGAGGCCAGGAAAAAGAGCTTTTGCAGCTGTCTGTGTCTACCAGGTGCCAAGCAAGGGCCTTGGAGGTAATCGTACCAGTGGTAATCGTACCACTGCTGTTTATCATCTCCCTTTCAGAGGGGAGGAACCAGGTTCAGCAACCATGCCAGGGCAACCAATGCTTCCCCGCTGCCTTAGGGACCTCTCCACTGCCTCTCATTGTCCCCCCCCCCCCCCGCGCCTAAATGGAAGGGGGAGGGCACCCAGGGCCTTGGAGTTTCTGGCTGGGTTTCTGAGGCACGAGCTTTGGTCTCAGCTTCCTGTTGGGATAATGTTGCCGGGACCCCATCTGCGTGCCTGGGAGGGGCTTTAGGTCCTCCTGCTTTCTGCCAGACCTCTGCCACCTGCTCTGCCCAGGCAGCTGCTGACCTAGAAGGCCTGGCCCAGCCCCTCCTCACATACTGGACCATCAGAACCTTCCTAGAACCTGGTTTATTATGAGGCCAGGCAGGAGTATGGGCTATGAGAAAGACCCGCTCAACACAGTCCAGGGAGAGGCTCAGACGTCAGCACATAGCTGAGCTGGGCAGCAAAGGACCCAGTAGGTGTCGCCTGGTGTGGAAAGCCTGAAGGAGGAGATGGGGCTCTGAGCGGAAGGGGTGTGCACAAGCAGGGTTTTGTAAAGTGAGCAGAATGTCCAGCAAGGGGAAGGACGCGCGCGCGCGCACACACACACACACACACACACACACACACACAGAGGCGTGGGTCTCCCCTGAAGGACCTGTGCCCCTCCCGAGGCTCACATGAAGTACCTGACATTTGAACCTCATGGAGCAGAGAGAGGCACCAACTTCCGCCTCAGACACCCTAGTCAGTCTCCAGGGGTATTTGGGGATGAGGAGGGGTCGGCGCGGGGGGGGGGGTACGCAAACGTCAGAAGCGGAGCCGCGCTGCCCCAAGTCAGCTCGGACCTCTCTTCAAGGGCGCCTTTCCCGGGTTCCCGCTGCCCCGGGCTGCGCCGCGGCCTCCAGTCCTTTGCGGGATTTCTGCCCCTAGGAACTCGCAGCCTTTATGTCAAAGTCTCTTCCCAGAGGCGGCATCTGGGCACGGCTAGTTGGAGCAGCAGGGGGCTGGAGCCTGGGGTCTGTCAGAGGGCCAGGCTCTCGCGGGTTTCACGCGCCTTCGCCCACCCCCTCCCTTACACAAGCACGCACACGCACACTGCTGGGGGGCGGGGCTGGAATGCAGGAGCCCCCTGCTTTGCCCGAGGCACGCACGGGGGGTGGGGGTGGGGGAGCACAGCACTTGCCCGGCCTTGGTGAAAGCCTGGAGGACTGACTGCAGTTGGCCCAAGGGATGCGAAGGCTAGTGGGGCAACCCCGGACCCCAGCGAGAGTGGAGCCCTGCCCAAGAATGAGTGCCAGGTACTTGCGGGGGGGCCCCCGGGGCCTCAGGCAGCGGCGGGCAGCTCCAGGTGCGCCTGAATTTTGAAAACCAGTTAATCAGGGCATTCAGGGATGTGCAGTCCTTCCCGCCGCTCTGCGTATATTCTAGAGCTTTCGTTGCCTTTAAGGACACAATCCTGAACCCTTACAGCAGTTCTGGGAAGGACACAGCACTTACCTCCAGGTCACAAATGAGGTACGTGAGATGCAACTTATCCAAGATCACAACAACAAATAATCACAGAGGCAGGACTCAAACTTAGCTGCCTTGCGACTCTGAGTTGTGTCCTCCCCACCCTCTGCAGTCATCAGGAGCCCACTCACCTGCTCCTGCGCTGCACATCACTTCCCAGGGCAGGGTTTCCAAAACAAGCACAGCCGACTCAAAAGCAGTGCTGTGGGTGGAGACTGGCATTTTTTAAAAGGAGAAGGGCTGGAAGAAAAAGCACCTGGGTAGAGAAGAATGCCTCGCACAAGGGCACTGTGCGTTCTGCTCTCCACCCCCACCCTCTTTGAGCTGCTGGTGGTGGTGGTGCAACCTTCTTGGCTTGGCCCCTGGAAAAACATCCCCTTGATCTGAGACCCCAGCGACCAAGAGGCCTGTGACCCAGGGATGGATGCACTTTCTGGTCCCCCAAACTGGCTCCGGGCAGGGGAATTCTCCCACCTGGATATTTTTGTTAGGAATTCTGGTTGTTGGTCCCCACTCCACCACGCCCTAGCTTCACCCATCCACTCCTACCATTCCCTCCTGTGTTTGTGTGTCTCTGCCAAAATGTCCTTCCCCTTGTCCACCACCCACAGCTTGGCACCCTTCACAAAGATTAGAGGGACTGGCCTGGGGGCATCCCTTAACACCTGCATGCTGACTTTGGCCCCTCCTTTAGCTCCTACAGACTGGAGCCTTGGGCTCTTTCTCTTCTGGGGGAACTGCTTGTTTATCCTCCATAAAACTTCCTTGCAACATCTGGATTTCCCTAGTCCATCTGCCTTACCTATTCTCCACTCCCAATCCTCAGGCTAGTTCTGGAGCTATTCAAAAGGCCCTATGGTCGCAGAATCCCATTTCTTCCCTCCATCCCCATCATCCTGTGAAGTTGCTTTCCTACAGAGTCAGAACACCTGCTTAGAAACGGCCACAGCCTTCCTTGGCAAGCAACTCTCTGGCTGTGGGTCTGGCCAGGTTGCAGTGCTGGCCCCAGGGAAGAGGGCTGCTGGGACCGGCTCAGACACTCTGCCCACAGAGCCAGGGTTTAACAGCTGCCCCGGGGTCCAGGAAGGGATCCGGGCTGTCCTGTAGATGCGGGGCACATGCGAGGCCTGCCGTTGTCTCTTCCTTCTGAATTCTGGGCTCAGGTTCCTGCGCACAGTGTGGAGGTGCCCCAAGGGCCCTGGCCAGGGGCCAGGCACAGGGAAGGAGGCTGCTCTCCCCTCCGGGTACCCACATCCTCAGGATGTGGGGAGCTACAGCTGTGAACAAAAGACAAGTCAGGATGCCAAGGGTAGGAAGCCTCACTACCTGGGGACCAGAAAGGCTTCCCAGAGGAGCCGGGCCCAGGCTCTGTGGCCTCCAAGCTCACCAGCCTGCATGCAGCTCTGGAACTAAAGTAGAAACAGGGAATGCTGGCAGTCATAGGAGCTCATGGCAGCCTTGAGAGGCCAGTCTGGTTCTCATGGGGACACCTCAGACTGAATCTCCAGGCTTTACTGGGTTTAATACAATAAGTTTGGCTCATTTACTTTTCTGGGGTCTATTTCTAGCCAAACAAAAGCTCCAAGACATCTTAGCAGTGAGGCAGGCCTGCCTGAGATCCTGGAGCAGCTTTCCTGATTCTACAGTCAGCTTAAAGGTCATGGTCAAGTCCAAGACAACTATATCCATGTTTCATCTGAGGCACCTCGAAGCTTTAATTCCCCATTAATCCATTCGGCTGTTTTGACCTCTTCACCTCAGCTTTGCATTACTACTGTTTCTCAGATTAGAAGCATGTGCTTGCCATCACTGAAATCAGAATGGCATCTTTTCCCTCTTAAGGGATGCTTCATATGGTCTAACCTGGGTTCAAGTTTGATTCCCCCACTTAATAGTTCTGTCTTTTGGAAAACTTAATTGCTTCACATCTGTTTTCAAATGTAAAATGGGTCTCCACAGTACTTCCCACATGGGTTGTGGGAGCTGCTGAGCTCTTCCCAAAGGTCAGCACTTCTATAAGGGGGTTCAAGGACTTGTTAATTTTTTGTTCCCCACACTCTGGTGCCAAAAGAAACCCTGACTTGTGTGCTATTTTGTGCAGGGCCTGATTAGTTTGGGGTTTAGGAATTCATGCAGCTTGCTCAACCAGAGAAAGCACAATTCATAATTCCAATCTTCCAGCAGCCATCAACATTCCCTACACCCAGGCACATGTATGATGTTTATTGGTGACAGCAGAAAAAGAGGACCTGTGCTTAGGTATGAAAATAGCTAAAAACATACCAGGTACAGTAGCATGCAATCACAGCATTCCAAGTCTGGTCTGGGCAACTTAGCAAAACCCTGTGTCAAAATGAAAAAGGGGTTTGGGATGCAGCTCGGTGTGAAGGCCCAGAGTTCAAGCCCCCAGATAAAAAAAACAGAAAGAAAAAAACAATAACAAAACACCCAGAACAAAGTTCATAGTCTCTCCATTTTTCTTTAATACTGAACAGTACTCTTTCGTAGTTGTAACACAATTTCAAGAGCAGAAGTAAGAAACATTACTGATAGACTACAGGGTGTAAAAATACCGCTTTTAAGGGTGGCTAGCTGAGTTTTTGTTTGGTTTTACATTGGTTTTCTTTAAAAGTTTTCAAGTTTGTGGTGTCATCCAATCTTAGGATTACAATCAAAGCTGCGGATGACATTTTATTTTTCAGGGATTTTTTTCCCTGTAGTCTGGAGTCCCAGATGCTGTAGCAGTGGTTCTCAAAGTCAAGTGTATGCTGAACTCCCTGGAGTGCTGGCCTCACCCCCTACTGGAGAGGCCTGAGAATGTGCATTACTAACTAGTTCCCAGGAGTTGCGAAGTCACCACTGGTCCCACTCCACCCCTGGAGAGCCACCGCCTAAAGGAAACAGAAATCTACCCAGGGTAGATTTGAGGGTCGTCAACTTCTTTCCCCAGGGCTCTGGCTCCTTCTCACTATGTGAAAAACAAATTGTCACCTAGAAGCCACCAGGTATCTGAAGTTCTAATCCTGACATTTTCAGTGTGTGCCTTCATTATTTAGAAGTTATTTATCCTTGGAAAAATATTTAATGCTTTGTTCCTGCCGAATTTTCCCACATATTTCTGAATTATACTAATTTCTGATTATAAATAAGCCAGAGAAGACATATTTCCACTTACAAAAACAGAATCCATCACCATTTACAGCTTGGTTCCTTTCGCTCGTTCCTACATGGCTTCCAGGCCACCCCTCACCCTGGGCATCAACTCAAGTCTGTCTGCTGAGAGCTGAGCCCAGCTGGGGCCAGTTAGGAAGTAATCATAGGGAGCTCAAAAAGCAGTTCCAAAAACTTACTAGCAGAACCCCTGGCTGTCCTCTCCTTACCCACAGATGACAGAGCACAGACATCTGTTTTCCTGGGATGAAGACGTGTTTCTCCCAGGACAGCCCTTAGCAGCAGGGTCACACTTGCCCTTCATGAGGCAGATTTCAGCTGAATCTACTTTCTGCTGAGCTGGAAAGAAAGACAGTCTTGAACATGGTGCCACCTCAGGTCTGACAAAAATCTTGGCTGGAGCAGGGTGCAGAGCTGCTGGAAAGGGGTCCAAGAGCTACGGTCAACAAACAAGGCAGGTGGTCTTATTTTTAACATCCCCTGAATAACCAAGCGGAATCTGGTAACTCAAAACCTTAAAAAACAAATCGGTGAAATACACTTTCTCACAAAAGTCTAAGTAGAGCTGGCAAACTAGGTCCATGAAATATTCATGTGAAACCCAAGGAGTAGGGCTGGCACTGGGGACCCTCACAGTCTAAGCACAGTAAACCTATCTGCACAACCACAGGAAGGGTGCTTCTGGACAGTGGTCGGACTGGAAGGAAAATAGCACCAACATATTAAAGCAGAGGGAAACCAAGTTCTTTTCTTCTTTCCTCATCCTGCCCCCCATCACGGAATCAGTAGGGACTGTGGTGTATAAAGACCTCTCAGATATTACCTAGATGGCCGCAACCTGAGCATGGTGCAAGGGGATTTTCAGAGCTTTGGTGTTTGTCTGAAAGGTTAAAAAAAAAAAAAAAAATCACCAAGCCTTTGGGAGAGAAGCACAAGTTAGCATCATTCTACTAAAGTTCTGTCACTGAGGTCAGCTTTAAGTGCCTTAACTTGTCTCACAAAGTGTGTGGGCTACAGATGCAGCACAGTGACTCCTGTGCACATTGGGGTGAGCTGTATTTGTTCCAACAGGAAGATCTTGCTCAAGCACCCGCATCCCGGAGGTGCAATCTCTTTGTGCCCCCCCCCTTTCCTGGGTCACCAAGCACTCACAGGAATGTGTTCAGGGCTGAAGGGTTGTTCTACTTCACTCAAAACTCTCTTGCTTTTCTGGACTTAACACCAGAAAGCAGTTTCCCAGTGAACATCGCCAAGTTAACATGTGACAAGGCACCATGTTTTAACATAACAGACCAGTGTGGCCCTCACACAGGAAAGACCTTTGGAAGTGTAAGCATATTTTTTGGAGGCTGGGGCCTGGGTAAGAGCAGTTGGGTAAGAGCAGGTGGCTAAACTTCCCCTACCTGGAAGCAAAGGCCTTTCCAGGAGCAAGCAGCTGTGTCCTGGTGGCCTTCAAGGCCTCTCCTTATTGTCCTGAATTCCAGAACTGACCGTGCTGAGGGTGCAAAGTGACAGAGTGGGTAATAAATCTGAGAGCCTTTTGCTTTCATCTTTCTCCACTCTTGATGGGCAAAGAACATTCTTTTTAAACACAAGAAAAATATACGCATTCTTGTAAACTTGGGAGGGCAAGAAATGCCAGTGAGAGGAAGAGAGGGAAATGAGAGGCAGTGCAATTCCGTATTTTAGGACATGCTTTCTGGGCAATCCGGTTTGGTTTTGTTTACAGATTCATCTTGTACTAGATGAAGCCAAACAGTACAAAGTCCACAGAGTTGAAATGCAACTCACACTTATCATTCAATTCCTTGATCTTCAAATGTTATGAATTCTTTAAAAAGGTAACAGGGACTAGATGACCCTCTGGTGTCACTTTAAAGCCAGGGAAATTACCAAAAGAAAAATCTTGGCTCCATCACCTTTACTCACAGAAGGTAAAACACTTAACAGAGACAGATTTTTGTTGGAGTTAGACTAGATTTCTTTTCACAGCCCTTAATCGCACGAGGTGAGAAGGAGTGGAGGTTGCCAAGTTGCTGGCTACCAGACCCATCAGTCTGTTTAACTCTGGCTAACAGCAGAGAATAATGGGCAAGTTACCAAATTTCCCCCCTCCAGTTCTGGCATGAATTCTAAAATTGTGGAAGAGCCTCATGTAACACCCCACACACACCCACACCCACGCTGTATCGCACACTTCAATTCCACTTGCCACACAGTCCAGAGCAGGCACAGAATTGTGATTTTTCACAGACCACACAAAGACCAAAAATTAGGACTAAGAACTGAAAGTATTTTGGTTTTCCAGTTGGAATCATACTCTGGCAAACTTTCTCAATGGTTCATTCCTATCTTATCCACCCCCAGATCAGTAAAATGTTCTTCCAGTGAACATAAAGTGAGCTCTTTCTGTTACCCATCACATTCTGCCAGTTCTTTAAAATGATGAATATGAAACTTGGTGCAGAAGACCCAGCTTCCATCAGGAGGCACTTCAGCAGTGTGGGGATGAAGGAACCACTTAGGTTCCTTGGATCACTAAAGAAGAAATATTTGTCCTTGAAAATACATGCAGGTCCCCTGGCTCATTCTCTCTGGCTGCCAGGTTACAGCCTGAACAGAGGACCTTCAGATGAACACCCCTTGTGCAGGGACAGCCCAGGAAGGGCCCAGGAGGACCAAGCCAGGACTAAGTCAGCCAGAGGTGGGAACACGATGGCCCACTGGGAGAACACCTGTATTTGAAGTTGATGTTTTTCTTCTAAATGATTCCCTATTCAGCTTCAGCTTGTCAGGTCTACAGCAGTCAGTTTAGTAAACGCCTCAAATCAGTGAGGTCAACAGGATAATTCAAAATGTATCAAACAAAATTAAACTCAAGGTCACAACACTTGACCCTTGAACTAATGAGAGGACCTTCCTCATTAGTGACCCAGCTGTGCTCTAAACAGCCCTAACTGATACACAATCTGATAACAGCATGACAATAATGTGGCTTTTAAATAGGGGACTCAGAATTCCATGAGATGCTAGCTGCTTCTTGTAATGTGCAGTATGGATTTTAGTACTTAGGGAAAAAAATCCACATTTATTTTTAGCAAAAGACTTCTATATTTTAATGCAAGGGATCATCTCTGCTTTAAGTTTACAGAAGACTATTTGAGTAAGTTTTAAAACTTTGTGTCTTAAAACATAAATAACTCAGTATCCCTTTGAAGCCCTTTGTCATTTTTCCTAATTTGAAAAGAAATAACTTATTTAATATATCAAAAATTAGAGACGAATGTAAACATGGATGTCAACCATACTTTCAGTTTTATAAATTTGCTTTTAGCTTTCATCAACAGGCAGATTTCCTTACCTACAATGATCCTAAATGAGATAAAATATCCTTCTTTAAAAAATTGTTAGACATTTATTAAAAAGTGCAATTTAAAAGTTAGCTGGGCAAGCACACCATTGCAAATCATAAAAGGGGGAAAAAAAACCCAAGAAAACAAAATCCCAAAACAAAACCATAAGAAATACAAACAAAACAAGAAAGTGGTTAAGAAAGAAAAAAGTTAGTGTGCTGAGGAATGCACAAAAAGACAAGAAAGTCAAAGCTCAAACTCTATCCAGATGCTGCTGTTCTTTCCAAGTGCAAATGGTGGTGAGGGGAGCCTGGCAGCCTCTACCACTGAGTTCTGGCTCTGGATCCAACCACTGCTTTATCAAATTATGCAGCAGGGAGGTTATAAAAAATATCCTATATACATGTGCACATTTGAGGCATTGCAAAAGTCATCAGAGGCTTGAAGTTTTTAGTGTCTCAGCAGTCTCAGCTACTTAAACTCAATTAAAGCATTTAACATTAAATTTGGATTGGCTCAGTTATCTAAATGGGTGATAAAGTCAAGTTGACACCATAGGGAAGAAAAGAATCAAGTTCTACAACCAAGTTGCCATTACTAACAGAGTAAGAGAAGTCTGACCCAGAGTTCTGGTCCAGCCTTTTTGCATCATGAGAGTTTCCATGTAAATATAATGAATGTACTAACTACTCCAAACCCATCCCCCAGCGTAGAGTGCCACAGGAATAAAGAAGTGTCAAAGAGGACCCAGGGTCCCAATTCATCCCGGCATGCTGCTGTGCTGTTTAACAATAGACTTAAGGGTCACCCTAAAACTGCAAGATGCACCTCTGAGGGGAAGCCCTGGGGCAGCAACATGGAGTCCTAAACTCTGGAAACATCATCACTTCTTCCCTAAGCTGTGCCAATCAATGCAGGTCCCGCTGCCATTTTCAACTCTTCTGTCCATTACAACCACAAGTAAGCCACAAGCTGTTAGCACCCCTAAGCCCTAGGTGTTTCACTAGTTTCCATTAGTTATTCCTACCACCAAAAAAAAAAAAAAATTGCACCTGGAAAAGCGATTTTGTCTCAACACTTATCCTTGAAAAATAAAACTCTGTATTTTCTGTCACAAACTGCTTCTAAGCCTTTTGTCCTCATCAACCAGCTCTCAGGGACTATGAAATGCTACAGCAATGGGAAACACAGCATACCCAGGAGCCGGATTAACGGGTTTCTTTCGATGGGACACCAGTGCCCATCTGGGCAGAAGAAAGAGCTGCCTAAGATGGAAGGATGAGCAATGGTGACACTAGTGGGGCTCCTCATTCTTTGGGATGATACAGTCCCTCCTCCGGGAGCAAGGTCCAGCAAGGCAAAGTAGTAGCTTGCTGTCCTCAATCAGGACAGGCGGAGGGGCTTCTGTGGTCCAGCCAGGAGTGCGGTCATCTCCTTCCTCTTCCTGTGGTCTTTCAGCGCTGGGTGGAGGAGCTGTCTTAAATGTGGAGTCACACAGAGAAAAGTCCGCACAGCGGCAGGTTTCCTGGAGAGGAATGTGAGTTGAAGGAGTGTGCTTGTTTCTCCTCCTCCGCTTCGTTCCTGGGCAGGAGAAACTGCAGTGGCGGCCACCATCACAGCACTAGGAAGAGGATCAGCACGACCAACAGGACCACGAAGAGGATGGCTATGGCACACCACTGGCGCCCATCTGGAAGGCAGGACGTGAAGATTAGCCTTCTTGGGTACTCTACATTCCCCAAGACACAGGCACATGGAATTTTGGCACCTTTTAAACAGAAAAGGGATGGAACATGGAAATGACAGGGCAAAGAGGATCTGAAGCCTGCCTCTGTGCCTGGTACTCAAACACTGCTTTGCCAGTCCCCCGAAAAGTGCTTCATAGTAAAGCATGCTTTGATTTCCCAGGTTCCGTGGACCTTAGCTTTCTGCTGGTTGTTAGTGCATCCCTGGAAAAGGTGCTGGCACTGGTATTATTGATCAAAGCCCATCTGCCTTCATCTCCCACCAAAGCCAAGTCATTTAATTCAACATGATCTTGTTCTTTTTTCAGTGAACACTGCAAATGGGTAAAAAGGAAATGAAAGCTACTGCTGGTCACTTTGGGGAATGAAGAGCTGAAAAAGCAAGCTCCAGTCAGAGAGCATGATTAATAATTTCACACCACACCTATTCAACTAAGAAGTAAGGTTCATTAACCACTAACCACGTTAAAGTAATGTATAAGCCAATCTGTAAATGAAAGCACAATGTCTTTTCTCAAACCTACCCTACCAACAACTTAGAACAGCAGGAATAGAACACAAAGTGGCTAGAGTCCTTCTGAGTGACTGGGAGCAGGGAGGTCCCACAGGACAAAGGAACCCACACAAGCCAGTAACACCTGCACTGGCCTGCAATCCTCCCTGTGGTTCTAATGATGTACAACTGCTGCCTCACTGGGCTGCTGTGAGAATGAAACAATACAAACACAGCCACACACTGCAGGGTCCATGCTTGGGGTCCAAGGGACATTTCCCTACCTTGGGGAGAGGCAGAGAACAGTCTCTCCATAGGTGATTCCAGTGTCTTCTACAGAGGGTCAGACTGATATATAGTGGACCCTTGACTTACAAACTTAATTCGTTCCCGAGGGCCGGTTGTAACTCAAGTTGGTCAGTGGAGGCTCAGGCTCTTCAAAGTCTCTCTCCTGTATACAGGCAGATCTCAGTATCCTTAGACATTGGCCCAGCATTTCTCAACTAACCCCACATGGGAAAGAATATTGTGATAATACTTCCAGGACTCTTTAAGGGTTTAAATCTGTATCTGAGACCATCTGGAAGCACAAGTGGCTGGCATCTGGGTCATAGCTCAAGACTTTGGTCATAAGTTAAAACTAAAATTCTGGTCATAACCCAAGCTGTTTGTATGTCAAGCTGGTCATAACTTGAGGGTCCACTGTAAAAGAATTTCACTAGCCTGTGAAAATGCATTTCAACCACTAAGAATAAGAGTTCCATTTACACAGAAATGTAAAGGTATACTTATTCATTAAAGTTTAAACACAACAGATTTTAACACAGTATAGCTTTGAGAATCACATTGTAAGAAGGATAAAATAGGTTGCAAAACTCTCCACAAAGCAAAACATGTACTTAGGAATTATTTTAAATATCATGGATATCAAAATCATAGAACTGGCCGAGAGAACTGCCTCCAAATTAAAGCAAGTAACTCCTCCTTTCTGCTTAAAAATAAAATAAAGTAACATAAAACTTAGGAAGGACTTCTGGAATTTCATGTTTAATATTCTCAGACCACAGGTGACTTTAGTCCTTAACTAACTCTGCAAGCTCAGGATCTGCCTCAGAAGGTCAGCAGAACAAAGAGATCTCCAGTGATAGCTTTTTTTCCTTTCTTTTTCAACATATTTTTCTCTCTTAAAGAGATAAAATGAACAACAGAATGTTGGAAAATGGGGGTAGAGGGGATCTTAGTATCACTCAAAAGAATCCATTTTACAGGGTAGAAAAATGATAAAATTAATGTCTCTCCTGGCTCATTCACAGCAGTGTAGTCTTTGCCGATTTCTCCCATGAAGCAGCCAGCCAGAGGGTGGGGAAGGACAGATTCTGCCCTTGAATAGCTATGGTTGCATGTTCATTACTACTTAAGCAAACTCCAGTGTGTTTTCACATGCTTCCTTTATATACAGCTTTGATTGAAAATAGTGAATTTAACCAAAAGTTAAGAGTAGAGAACAAAGACAATTACAAACTGCCTGATTGACAAATTGAAGAAGATGCTGGCACCAAGAGGAGGCCTATAAACAGTATTTCTTTTGGTAGCAAGATAAAAATGAAAACACAGGTAACCTGTCCAAAATGAAGGGCCTTTCAGACTATCGGCTCTTCTCTTGTACAAATATAACCAAAGTTCTTATTTTGCTTCCCAAACTTTTCTTTTGGGAAAACGGAGAATAAAGCATAAGCCAGCCTCAGTGCTACTTACACACATGGAGGCTCTTATCACAATGCAAGTATTTTATTCTAAATTATTCATACCCAGAAAGCTGGGAGACAAAGACACAGTGCATCTTTGTTCACTTGCTCTTCCCCAACAAAACTGGTGCTGAAGTAGCTACTTGACTTGCAACTAATACATACACTAGTGAGAGGCCTGGTATTTAAACCACTTATATAATACTTCATTACAACATTTTCTTTCTAAGTAGAAGGGTGGGGTGGAAGAGAATAGAACCAGAGAAGATTTTGCGAATCTTTCTGTAAGCCTCAGTGTGAGGATGAAGCTGGTGCTTGCTTCTTATATATGAACAGCTTCAGGCAAGGAAATGCCTGCTAGGAGCATAAGGACATTTGCCAGTGGACAGAAAGGAGGAAATAACTCTAGATAAGAGCTTCCCTGGTGCTTAGGATTTGATAAGTCCTTTGCCCCTTAGGACAATCTGTTGCCTCATGACAGTTTTAAACATTTAAGTGCTAATACATGACAACACTGTTAAACACTTTTACATTATTACTGAATTTACTCTTCACAATGACCTTGAGAGGTAGGAATCAATCTGTTTTTTGTCTTGTGCAGATTTAAAAAAATATTTACTAAATACTAATACTCAGCAGACAGTGTCATACACATTTACATTATTATTATGTTTTAATTTACAGCTCCCTACAATCCTAAGACATAGAAATCTTTTTTTTTTCTTTCAGTGCTGGGGATAGGAACAAAGCTTGGGCCTTGTACGCACACATGGGTTACGCAAGGGCTCTACCACTGAGCTACACCTCCAGCCCTCAACCTATTTTTCTAGGTAAGAAACTGAGTCCAAGAGAACTGTTATGTAATGTTGCCATGAGTCACACTGCTGAAAAGTAAACACATATGTATTTAAATCATACATGTCAGATGTACCTGACAGGAGGAAACCAACAGAGGAAAGAGGTGTTAAGAAACAGGGAAGCCAAGAACACTCGAATACCTCAGGAGTGTCTCAGTTCCTCCTTCCACCAAGCCATCCCCACCAGGTAAGAGATAATGGGTTTTCTTTGATTTAAATATGTTATTTCTCATGTAATCTGGGAAGTGGCTTGTAGTAATAAAAAAATGTGAAAAGTTATTGAAACACATCTAATTTGAAAACTGCTACTTTGTCATCCCCATTCTGCTACAAATTTACTAGGACATTTCACTGTGGCTTTAAATATTACAATTTAAATTAAATTTAAAAGGCCACCTTATTCTGAAGTAGTAGATGTTTTTCTATCAATGAAAGAAGGACAGTTCAGGAGAAACACTAGCTGGCTTCTTAATTACTGCTGTAACTAAATTCCCTATTTTGGCAAAGAACAGAAGAAACGGGTGGAGTTGTAAATGCAAAAAGAAAGCTGCTTCCCTGAGAGAAAAACCTTTAAACACAGTGAGGGGAGCAAGGCCCTTTTCTCAAGTTACAGCCACATGTAGAAGCCAAGGACTCTACACATTAATCTTCCATTTTCTGACCCTAAAGTGTCTCAAACAAATGTCCCACAAAAAAGTGATCTGCGTGGTCACAACTGTGAGGAACCCTCACAGAGTTTCCATAATTAAGTGGAACTTCTCAAGATTTAAACATACATACCACTGGTCATGTGAGACACTTTTGCAAGTTTCTTCATAACATTGTCCAGCCGAGACTGAGTGCTCTCCAACTCGTGAGAGAAATCATCCAGCATGCTAGAGGGAAACAGAAACAAGGCAGGCAGTAAGCACAAAACCTCCGCAAAGCACTGGCCTGGGAATTCAAGCAGCATCTAGGTCTCCATTTTAGCAAATCTAAAACAGCAATACTAGGATTCGGGACCCAAATTTATTATTCAAAATCCTTGGGACAAGACATGTTTTTGAGTTTGGAGTTTGGAGGATTTTTAACAAGATAAGCTATATACACTGTATTTATCAACATCCTCAACAAGGCCTGGGGCAGTCCTTTAATCAAACACATTTCTGCAGAGAAAACCACGTGAAATGATATTTAATCAGCTCAGGTGAGGTTTTCCTGTAACATGAGCTTGCTGCAAATTTAAAAACTTATAACTTGGATTTTCAGAGCTTCCTAAATTTTTTTTCTTTTTTTTTTTTTAAAGCAGAGAATTGAACCCAGGATTTTCACACCAAGCTATATCCCAATCCCTTTTTTGTTTTGAGACATGGTCTCGATAAATTGCCCAGGCTGGTTTGAACTTTAGTCCTCCTGCCTCAGCCTACCAGAGTGCTGGGATTACAGGTGTGTGCCACACCCAGCAGAGATCTAGAAGTCGGAACTGCAGGTGAGAGTGAGGAGCTGCCTTAACAGTACTATAAACTTAGTGGCAGAGCAGTGCGGTAGAAAGCAACCTCTGTGAAGTCAGACAGCCAGGCTTTGCCCCTAGCAACCTTGCCACACCATTACAAGGCACCCTACCACTCACTGTTTCCTCATCTGTAAGATGGGTGATCCTATCAGCCCAACTCCCTTCATAGGGTGCTTTTCTGAAGACCATGAAATATGCAGAAGCACTTCATGTCAATGTGAGTTAAGGAATGTAATTTAATCTGATCTATTCTTCAAAGCACTCCGTGCTTTATCATAATCAGAAAGCCTCAGGACTGGAATCCCTGGTAGTGTATGTGTGCACGCCTCCTCGTCTGCTCACAGAGGAGCCAGTGTTTCCTCCAGGATGAACTGGCCCCAGGAGACTTCTACTATTTGCTGTCCAATGTGTGGTGGGGAAAAAAACACTGAAACACTATACTTTTATTCCAGCAGTGTTTATTTCATAAATTACTGCATATTACACACTTCTTAACTTTTGATTAATACGTGATTATTCTGAGGCCAGAATTAACACATCAATTAGTACTAGGGCTCTCACTACAAAGGCCTTATTAACTCTGACATTGTCAATGGCAGCTAGAAAATATTGGTCTTGGTGTGTGGCCACAAAGGGCACATGAGAGTCCTGCAGGATTTGGGGTGACCAGCTCCTCATTAAGTCAACTTTTAAATAAATTCACATTGACAACTAAATAAGTCTTTGTTCCTTACCTGAGTCTGCAAATCAAAACATTTCAGTGCATCTTAGATCCTGGCAGCATTCTGGCCCTGCAGCTGGCAGGCCTCTCCAGGCAGGGCCAAACACTGACAAACAAGAGCTACCTTTGTCTGCTGGGTATGGCTTTTCTTACTGCAGACAAAACAGGCACATCATTCAACCTTCAGCCAAGAATACCCACTGACCAAGCTTATAGTCCCATTCTAATTCAAAGCCACTCAACACAAACAAAATGCAAGTCGCACTTGCCATTTTATTTCTTCCAGTGGCCACTTAAAAAATTAAAACAGGCAAAATTAATTTTAATACTCTTAGTCTAATATATACAAAATACTATCATTTGAACATGTAATAAATATTAAAAGTATCAATAAGCTACCTTTTACTTTCTCACCTCAAAGTCCAGTGTGCACTTTACTCTTGAAGCACGTGACCCATCTCAAGACTGGCTATGGTCCACCTGCTCAACAGCTGCCTGTGGCTTGTGCTCTCATGCTGGACAGCACAGGGCTCGGTCCCAGACCTATGTTTTTCCCTTTTAATTTACATTTTACCAGAGTTATATACACAGCCAGTTTAAGGAGACAAATGGCTGTACAAGCTTTTTATGAAAACTCACTTGTTCTCCTTCCACTTTACTGACTCAGTGATATCATAGCTTAGGATTTAGCCCTTTCTCCATTTGATTCCCACCACCTGATAGCTACGTGATGGTTTGATTAGATCAATATTCAGCATTTACATTAAACTACTAAATAAATGCTATTCATGGTGGTTTGGGATTGTGACCACTGCTTCCTAGTGGTCCTCATGGCTGGCGGGGGTTCAGCTTTCTCTCGCCTGTTGAGTCCATAACCAGTCATCTGCCTGCTTTCTAAATCTAAAGTGTTATGACTGTAGTTTCTTATTTCATGCTGTGTGACCCCATACGTTTTATGCTTTGAAAAGAATTCCTTTGGCATTTAGTGGACGTTAGAGGGAGTGGAGATAAGGGGTGCGTTCAACTGTTCATCTGTAACTGGAAGCCTGAGAGGCTTTCTCTATTATCAGGCTGCCACACCAGCAGAGTAGCTCAAGCCATTAGTTCCCTCCCATTTCAACCAGAATTTTAGGGTCAGAAGCCACTTTAGATAGAAATGAAGCCTTTGTGTCTAGATTCCTGCTGCTTCAGCATCCTCCACATGCACTCCACTAGCTCCACTCTGGCACATCATGTGTATCAGACAGATGGGTCTTTCCAAAAGCTATCATGCCCTCCTCCCTAACATAACCTCCTTGGTCCCCCATCATGCTTAGAGGGAAAGTCTTGCCTCCTTATATGCTGAGTGAGCTCCCTATCTGGACTTCTACCACTCCCCTCTCAACCCCTGTCCTAAACACACAAAATCTCTCTGCTCCATTCAGGTTTGCACCCAGATCTTCACAGGTACTCTTTCTTCCTCCTGGTACACACACCCTTGCCAGCTCCCCACACAAACACTGACTCTTGCCTCACTTGGCTGCCTTTACACGTCCTGCAAGTTTCAGTTAAGTCCCTCTTTCTCAGGGAACTTAGGCTAAGTCAAGGCCTTCCTGCTTTATCGTCATCACTTAAACACCTGCCTTCATTTGTACAGTGTTCACTGTACCATATTTTAACAATGGCAGAGACTGTGTCTGTTCTATTCACTTCTATCCCGCAGGGTCACTGTGAGGGCCTAGTGTAGAGCAGGAGCCCAGTAAGAATCTAGAACAAATGAACATACAGCAGTGAACCTAAGACTGTGATAGAAGTGTTTCTAAAATATCCTGGTGGACTGTCTTTTTTCTGGAAAATAATTTGTAAAATGGTAAAGATATCATGTGGTGGCATTTAAGAAAGTTGTTTCTGTAGCTCAGTGGTACAGTGCCTGCCTGGCAAGCGTGAGGCCCTGAGTTCAATTCCTGGTACCAAAAAAAAAAAAAAAGAATGTTGTTTCTGCTATCATACTTTAATGCAAAAAATTTTCTTAAGGAACTTAAGTTCTTAAGGAATTTAAAAAGTACGTTTCCTTATTTTTTTAACAGGAAAATTTTTTTGTTAACTGGAGTTAAATTTGTAAGTTTTTTCATAAAGTAATAAATTAAGATGACAAAAAAGTCCTGTTCAGTCTACCAGGAGTCCTGAAGACAGCTCCTAACACTACCTTTGTGGGTCTCCCTTCATCCAGTTCATCCTCTTCAGAACATACAGGGGTTTTGGTCACATCTGTTTTACATTCTCATTCATAACTATGCTTCAAGTATCTGTTCAGAGAAATCTGTGTCTGTTTTTGAGGTGTTTAAAAATAATAACCTCACAGGGGCAGGAGATTTAGCTCAGTGGCGCCATGCCTGCCTCGAAAGTGCAAGGTCCAGAGTTTGATCCCTGGTATAAAAAATAATAATAACCTCACTTAAGCCCTGTCATAATTTTATCCAATAGATTTGCTTCTTTTGGAAGCAACAGGATAAAAATGCAGCTACAAATAAAATAGCTTTTGGTTTTACCAGCCATGTTAACTTCCAGGCCATTTAGGGATGGCTTTTCCCTCCAATTTCACTGCAGCAAAAGGGGCGTCTCAATACTCACACTGCCTGTTCCTCTAGCTCCCCTCCGATGCGCTGGGACATGTTCTTCAGCACCCCAATGCTGCCAGAGACCAGCTCCAACTGCTCATCCTGCTGTTCCACAATCAACTGGTGCCAGAGAAATGGGAAATAGGCAATTAAAATCCATCTTACCTGGTTCCAAGCCCAGCACTGTAGCAGCTGCTAGTTTCTTTGCCAGCTTGGGACAATTCACATTCAGAAGCAAAGCCCAGAAATCAAAGGACCAGACCGTTGCCTCTGAGTACACGCTGCTCAAAAGGCTGGATTGTCAAACTACTGCTATCTCCTGCTGATCCAAGTTGTGAACAGTCAGTGGGGCTTGAAACCACCAAGAGAGATTTACTCTAGTTGGCTTAGGGCCAATAAGGGAACAGACAATGGCCAAAAGCACACATGCAGATGACCACTGAATCATGGGGCTATCTGGGAGGAAGCCCACTGCTAAGATCAAGGTCTCAATCCACAACACACTGCCAGAGCTTAAATGCAAGAGAGCTTGGCAAATCTCCAGATGTGGGAAAACTATGCACACTGAGTCTTTTTCTTCCTCCTAAAGGACAATCTAGAGGAGGACCTGTGGCAATAAGTGACCTCAAGGACAACTACTGACTGGGAAACAAATATTTACTTTTGTGTTTCATCCCAATCACTTTCTTCTGTAAGAGTTGCTTTGGTTAATAGCAATCTGAGTAAACAACTGGTTATAAGCAGACATGCTAAGGGACCAGAACACATAACTTTCACAAGTATTTACAAAACAATATTTAAAAACAGTTCCAATGGGCAGATGATCCTCAAATCCACACATACATTATCATTAGTTTCCTGCTACACCTCAAAAGAAACAACAAAGACATAATCAACTTCACTTTCCTTCTACCTCTCAACCTTCATCAAACAAATGTTTTTATGTGTAATGGAAAAATCTAATGATATACATGAAAAAAAGGACTCTACCTTTCTCATAGTTTCTTTGTTGAACAAAAAATCTAACATACAAATAAGAAGCTGGGTAAGGTTTTGTTTTCTTTTCAAAAATTCTAGGCCTTGGGCCAGGGATTTAGCTCAGTGGTTCTGCCACCTGCCTCGCAGGAGGTAAGGACCCGAGTTCGATCCCCGGTACCAAAAAAAAAAAAAAAAAATCTAGGCCTTGTGTGTCATTTGGATGTCTGCTGTGCTGTTTTCTCTGAGATCTAATTAAGCATGATTCTCTCCAACATTCTGCTCTAAAGGTTTTTTACTTGGTTGGTTTTTGTTTTTTGTTTGATGGGGTTTTTTTGTTTTTATTTTTTAGGTATACAACACATTTACATTTCTCATTGGGAACTTGTACCTTTACATGATGCATCTTGGTTCTTATTTTTTTTCCCCATTCCCCTTTCCCCATTTTTTCCCCATTTTTCCCCTCCCTTCACTCCCTCCACCCTTCCCTATTTACAAAGACTTTATTTCCATTTTTTCCATTTCTCATCATTTTTCCTTTCCCCTGTGCCTCCCACTACCCCTACCCCTTTGGACCTTTTCTTCCTATTTTGCATTATTGATGATTCATTCTAATCATTGGTACATTTTAGGTATACAATATAATGACATTCATCATTGGAAATTTGCACCTTTACATAGTCTCTCTTGGTTCTTATTTTTCACCCTTGCCCAGCCCTCCCTTCAACCCCTCCATCCTTCCCTATTTACAAAGATTTTATTGCTATTTTTCCATTTTCTCATATTAATTCCATTTTCTTCTTTCCTTTCCCCTAGCCCTCTCACTTCCTTCCCCTTTGCCCCTTTTCTTCCTATTTCACATTACCTATTATACATTTAGTCCTTATTTACACTTTCAGTTTCTCACACCAGAGAAACTATTTGGTATTTACACATGTGTGTGTCCTATTTATTTCATTTTTGAGGTGCTGGCCATCAAACCTAGGGTCTCACACATGCTGAGCTCTACCATTGAGCTACATCCTCAGTCTTCTTTCTAAAATTGTGAGACAGGGTCTCACTAAGTTGTCCAAGCTGAGCCTGAACTCAATATCCCTATGTCTCAGCCTCCCAAGTAGCGGGGATTACAGGTGTGTACCATCATGATCAGCTGTACTCTCAAGGTTTAAGAACCTTATATATATACAATAATTACTCATTTGACACAGTCAATCACAAGACAAGCTCCGCTTTAACCTGCTTTCCATTAGGCAACAAATCCTCTGACTGGCAGAAAGAACCAGGGGAGGGGCCCCACCTCCACCTCCCGTCCTTGGCTTGCTGTACTCTGGGTACCTGCTGTTGTGCCTGCTGCTCCTCGATGAAATGGGAATTGGCTAACTCCAGCTCTCGATCAAGGCGTCCATACTGATCTGTTGTTCCAGTGCCCCAGTTTTGGCTGCCACTGTCACCAAGCAGTGCCTGTATGAGTAAAGATGACAAGAGTCAGGAGAAACAAGCAGCTACTGTCTCTGAATAAGTGACACACCAGGGTGACAGAAAGAGGCCAGGCTTTCACATGTGGAACAATGTAAGGAATGCCAGGATGGGCCCTCTCTGTCTTCACCCTTCTATGAGCCTCACACATGGGCTTTGTCCCCTGAAAATCCAAATAAATGTCTATGTTAAATCAATACATGCCCACCTTTATAAGGTGTCATAATGCAACAGTACTTAGTTTCTTCGAATAGCACTTCCTAGGAACCAGGACCCAAAGGTCTAGTTAAACTGGTTCCACAGATCTGGAATCTATTATTAAAGGATGACCCAGGGAAGTTTTGAGTTTTGGGGGGATTGGGGTGACCTCCCCAGAGTGACAAGGTATGCTTCATGCATAGAAAACACAGAACCATCCATGTTTGTTGGATTTAACTCCTATATAAAACCCAATGCCCTTCAGCAGAAATGTAAGCTATGGGCTTCCCAGAGAATACCTGGGGGTTGCTTCCCAGGCAGATATGAACAGAAGGAGCACCTGGCCCTGACAATCTGGGCATGTACTGGCCCTAACAGCAGTCTCCAGCATGGCTCCTGGAGGCCAGGTCAGGTGTCCCAAGCATAAATTCAAAGAAGTGTGTAGCCAGAAATGAGTTCTGGAATGTCTTCCTCACAGCCAAAGCAGGAATCTGAGTGCTCCATGGTGGTGGCTGGTTTGGACCAGGCTCCCATCTTTATGACAGGTTAAACAGCTGTCAGACCAGCCCTGCATCAGGACTCACACGATACTGCAACTAAATGTTCTTGTTCCTTTAAAGTTGTCAAATCTTTGTACCAGGTCTTTAAAAACAAAAACAAAAACTCTGACACTATTAAAAGCCTGACCATTTATTTGGTTCTGTCTGAAAACCCCTCCAACAGCCTCACATCCTTCTCCTCTATACCCACATTGGCTTCCTCATGACTTTCTGAGATAGATTCTGTCTAATAGCCAGGCTTCAGGGTACAGGAAAGGGGAAGCTCAGAATGCAGAGCCCTCTAGGTTCTGAGATTATCAGAAGAGCTTCTAAGATGCTCAGTTATCAGAAGCTCTTCTCAGGGCAGAGCTTCTTCTCAGAAGCTCTTTGAGAGGCCCAGGGCACCACTCAAGAGGCTAGATGTGACCATCTCTGGGGTAAAGCAGACCCAAGGCCTTCTGTGGTGGTTCTGACCTGACCTGGTCTTAGGGTTATCAAGACTGCACACATCTTGCTCATTCCGATCCAACACTCTAGGAACCTCCACGGAGGACACTAGGAGCTAGTGACAATTTTTTCAGGGTCATAAAAAAGGGTACAGTGTACCATAGGCTATGGACAGAGAACTGGGGCCCCATCAGTTTCCATAGTCAAGGCTATTTTTTCTACAACATCCATGATCTACATACACTACTTAGCATAGGATAAATGTTGTTGAAAGTCATTTAGATTTTATAAGTTAGACAGATAACAGATGGATAAATGCTAACAGATGGATAGATTCTACCACCTTCCAGTAGGTTACCAAGCCTTTAACACATGGCCTTTGGGGGACACTAATCCAAACCACAGCACTGGTCAGCCTGCCTGAACACTGCTGTCAACAACTATGATGCTGTTTGCTTTAAATCACTTAACTCTAACCTCATTCTGTTCAGATTCCAGAAAAGTTCCAATAATCCATTTAGTAGCCCCTTCTCTTGAGAAACATCTCAATTAGTTTTTTTTTAATTAGTTTTTACTAACTTCAACTCAGTAGTTCACAGTATAAATTTTTATACCTGTAGACATTTACTGAACTACTTAATTTTGAAAACAAGTATTCAAATGTTCGAAGCAGTCCACAAATGTCATCCAACTTTTCCGACTTCTCCCTGAATTTCATTTTTCAAGTGTTTTGTTCTGTTTTGTTCTTCATCTCTAACTCCCCCCTTTTTTTTTTTAAAAGAACACTACAGCTCAGTCATGTCATCTGGTTCTAACTCTTAGAAGAAGCTAGTGAATGGCCACAGTTGACTAGTTTTGCACTTGAGCATATATGAAGTTAAGTGACAATACCTGAAATAGGCATAATAATGTGGTGGATAATGCCTGTCCTGTTACTCCTAATGTGAATGTTTTATTCTCTAGATAAGTGTAGTTGAGGTAACATGAGTAAAGTGAGTCTATGCATTGTCTTTCCAAGTATGGCTTGAAATCTTATTTTAGGGCATGAGTGAAATGACCTAAGAGTCTCAAATTTTAAAAGAACAGCAGGGTCAGCATTCTCTAGATGCTCAAGTGGGCAGAGTCTGCCTTGGTGCTAGGTACCTAGTACTGTGCTGCTCCTGCTTCTCCAGCACTTTCTCTGGTCCCCCCTCTCCCAAAGGTCATCTTCCAGTGTTTGGAGCCCTCTCTGTCTTTTCTCCCAGTAGAACATATTCCTGAGGGTCAGACTGATGAACACATAGAGCCCTCTCTGTCAGCACACTTGTCAAGTTGCCCTGGTCAAGGTTTAACAAATTATCATCACGTATACAACAGCAAAGATCATATTAATTATGCGAAAGCATGCCAGATGCAAACTTTTACCTTTCAATAAAAAGCTGTTTCTATCACTGAAAGCTCTGTTACTGGATTTTTAAGACAAAAGATGATAATTTATGAGTTATTTTTTCTAAACTAAAACCTCAGTGTTCAGGTTTAATTGCAGTGTTGGCACTTGGCAATAAATAAGTGGGTTTTAGGCTACAGTCTGGACACTCAGTCTCTAAATGGTTCGCCATCACTGGCCTAGTGGGAGGTTTTCGGGTCATTGGGGAAATGCCTCTAAGGGGACACTGGGACCCCAAACCCGTCCTCTTTCTTTATCTTTCACATCCACAGTCATGACATGAATGGTCTGGCCACGTACTGCTGCCATGCTGTCTTGTCACAGGTCCAAAAGCAACAGGGACAACCAATCGTGGACTGCAACTTCTAAAACTGTGAGCCAAAATAACTTTTTTCTCTTTATATGCTAATTATCTCATGTATTTATTACAGTAACAAAATGCAGACTAACACACTAGACTTTCACAAAATCAGCCAGTTGCACTCCAGGTTCAGCATGCACAGGTCTTGTTTTTGATCATACAATACCTGTTTGGCCAGCATTTTAAACATCCCAGCATGCATTTCCTTCGGCTGATACTTGTATTCTTTTTTTTTTTTTTACTTGTATTCTGATATTTTCTCACCTGTCTATTTTTCCTTTCAGCTAATGCCTGCACAGATGAAGTCGACATCTGATCCTTCATGTCCTGACGAAACATACAAAAAAACCAGAAAACAAATGAAAAACATTTTTAAAGAAAATCATGGTTAATATTTCAAATTTAGCAAAAGTGATATTATTTTTTAAATGAAAAGACATTACTTGGCTTTTATTTCAGTCTTTAAAATAAAGGAAATACGTTCCCTGAAAAATAAGTAACCTAAACTTAAACAGAAAGAAAGAAGAGAAAATTGAGGAGCTCTAGGTCCAGAAAAACAATGATAACTTTCTCAAAGTCACACAGCCAGTAAATGGCATCCTTGTGGTAGAAATGCAAAAGCCTTTGCTCATGGGCTAGCATGTGTTTAAAAACATATGTACTTTAAGTATATTTCCTTATTTTATTTTGGAGTTGCATTCAAGTGACATACAGACTATTTAATACCAGAGTGAATTTCCAGGGTGGTTATCAAAAACAATGTTATTATGGAAAGAAAAATGAATGGACCTATTACTTAATCTCAAGCAAAATATTTTATTGAATATGAGCCATTTGGCTTGTCACATTTTACCACAATCCAATACATTGTTAAATGATGTAAAATAAATATGTGATGACTGAAATACAATTCTTTTTTCTTGGGGGAAAAAAAAAGTCTGTCAAGATACCTTGTAATTTTTATTGGCATGTAGACTTTTTATTGATGCAAATGTTAAGGTATTTGGTTTCTAGAAATGTTCTCCAAGACCCATTACACGGGAATAGTAGATCAGACAATGCCACAGTTTTTATAATTCTTACTGTGGTCTAATAACCACCTTCCTTCAACTTTCAAAATACTCATTCATTCAGCCAATACTGATGTCTAATATATGCCAGGCATACAGCAGTAAATGATACAAATTAGGACCCTTTTCTCTTACAGCTCACATGGTGATTTACCTGAGTTAGACACCTGAGGTATTGTTAAAAATACAGTTCTTTGGGCCCCATCCAGACCTACTAAGTCAGACTCCTTGTGGAGCATTTTAACAAGTCTCTCTGGTGAGTCTTAAAGACAGAAACTTGAGAACCTCAGGTCCATACAAATTTCTAAAAGCTTCAAAGAGATACAATGGTTGTATCAGTACCTCCTGGTCTGCAGAATTCCCTTTCCAGTAAATTAGAATTTAAGATAGCATTCTTATATTCAAACAATTCCATTAAAGCAACATTTGAAGTGTTTACTACGGGAATAATATATGCTTTTTAAAACATACAGTACTCTGTTCACTTTATAGTAGTGTTTCTTTTTTAAAAAAACAAAAGAACATGCTACTTGCATGATAAAAATATCAATATGCATATGGAAAAGTGACAACTTAGCTTTCAAGCATCATATATTGAATATGATTCTGTGTGTCAGAAGTTACAATGGCGTAGGTGAAGCTAATGACTGCAACAGAGCACAAAGAAGCTACTGGGGATGTGGGTAATGCTTCTGGGTACTGCTTAGATGGGTGTGTCCAGCTAATTAATGCAAGAAGCTGTGTAATTCCAATATGTGAACTTTTCTGTATTGTTATACTTAAAAAAAAAAAAGGTAAAAAAAAAATACTACCAAACCATGAGTGGAGGGTAAAATGGACCAACTCTTTGAAAATAAATTTTGTTATTTTGTATCAAGAGTCTCAAAAACATACACTCCCTAGCCTCATTAATTCCACTAATAGCATTTTAAGGAAATGTGCAAAAATGTACACTGCAGTGTTATCTGCAACGGACAGGAAATCCACATAATTTAGTATGATGCGCTAGATACTACCCTCATGCAAAGAAGCACTAACCCATAAGGGATGTCTTCCCCAATTAGACCAAGAAAGATGCAAAGACTGATTCTTTATTATGTATATATCTAGATTATGTTCATATAGTCACTGACATATGGATTGTAACTGCTAAAAATTAACAATAATTAAAATATCTACTGGTAGATCAGTAATTAAATAAATTAACAGTTTAGAGAAGAGGTTAAGAGCATGGTCTTTTGTGTCGGAGTTGTGTTCAAGACTCAGCAATAGGTCAGGCATGATAGTGCACACTTGAAATCTCAGGACTCTGGGAGGCTGTGGCACAAGAATCACAAATTTAAGCCCAAGCTGGGCAACATGGTGACTTAGCAAGACTCTGACTCAAAATAAAAAATAAAAACGAGTAGAAAGAAAGCCCACTGCAAAGCTTCCTTTAGTGAAAAAACTTACTAATACTTTTTAATAATTGTGCTGTTAGGGACAAATTATCCAATTTCTCTATTTCTCTGTACAGTATTTTTGATAACATCTTACAGGGATAATGTAGGATTAAAAAAGATAATATATGAAGTGTGATTAAGAGCGGCCTATAATATAATAAATACTAAGTAAACATATTATCATCACGTAGAAGCATGCAACTGTGAAAAAGGATCATCGAGGTCTGCTCCTGCTCAGTGCAGTATCTATCAGCCAACTGTAGCTATGGAGTACTTGAAATGGGGTCAGCATAACTGAGGAATGAATTAAATGAAACTTAAATTACGTTCGTGAATCTACTCTTTCAAATGTAAGTTTTATAAACTCTACATACAGATGAAGTGCTTCAAAATTTCTCATCTGAATTGAAATGTGCTTAAGTGTAAAATACATGCCAGATTTAGCAGTCTTGGTACAAAAAGTAAAAACAAAACAAAACAAAAAACCTTTCATCAATATTTCTTAGATTGAAACATGTTTAAATAATAATCTTTTCAATATATTAGGATAAGTAAATTATGTCACTTGTTCCTTTTTACTTTTTAATGTGACTATTAGAAATAAAGCCTGGCCTGAGTTCAAGCCCCAGTAACCTCCCAAAAAAAGAAAATGCTTCTGTCTGAATAATAGTATAATCACAACTGTGTAAAAACATAACCATAGAGGAAAATGACTAAGAGGAAATACAAAACTATTCTGTTTTATTTTGAATTTGTTTCTTTTTCTATTTTGGCCCCTTGTAAAATTCTTGTAATTTTCTTTAATGAACATATGTTGCTTTAATGAAATACATTTTTTAAAATTCTAGTTATTAAGTTTTCTATTTAATATTTGGGGTGTGTTCCCTAAGGCAGTAAATTCTGTACCAGCTGTGTGGTAGGCATCCTGTATATGGCTCCAGGTAAAGAGCTATGGCTTTCACTTCTAAAATAGCATTTTATCTATATAGGTTAAAGTCACCAGATACCATACAACAGATCACCTTCATGTTGGGATGTGAAATTTTAAGCTGTGTTACTAAACAGTTTTCAACATTTTGTAACAATCTATCATGCCAAAAACATAATTACTCATCTTCTTCCTAACACATGAAGTTTAGAACTAGCAGTCAAGAAACAGTTAGTCCCAATAAAATATGGTTCATCTGACAAAAAAACAACAAATGTCCAGTTATTTATGTTCTTGTTTCCATTTCACGCTATCCTCCAAGCGGAATGGAGACATTACAAATCTCTGGGCTTCCTGCTTACAGGCCTCACATCCCAACATCATCTGTGCACACACTGGGTATCTTACCCTTTTGGATTAAGCAAAGCCATTTCTATCATAACTCATAAATGACTGTAAATAATTCTTAGGTTGGAACAGGTTGGGTTTTCTTTGGGGGGGGATGTTAGTTCTCATTCCTTTATAAGTTAAAATAAAGTCAGAGAATGTGAGTGAGGATCATCTCATTGATAAAACTGTGATCTGGAGAGGGTGACTGACTTGTTGTGATTAAAATTTATATTGGCTACAGCTTAGCCTAGAACTTGTTTCCAGACCCTTTATTCAATCTTCTCCCATATACTGTACAATCTTTCACTACTACACCAAAGTCACTTCTAGAGCATATTTCCACACCACAAAAATTTCATGTGAAATTTCTTGATGTATAAGTGACTCCACAAATGTAAAAATTATTACCTCAAAAAAATATGAATGCTATTTTCATAAAAACTAGACTATTTGCTTCCTTTATTAATTTTCTTTTGTGGTACTGGGGATTGAACCCAATACACATGCTCAGGAAGTGCTCTACCACTGAGCTACATCCCCAGCCTGAATATTTTGCTTTCTTCAGTAATAAGTACCAGTAAAGTTTAATAAAAACTACAAAGTTTAAGGGATGCTTGGGAAAACATACATAATAAGACTTCATACAAATCTGCTTAGCTGAATGCAATAAGGCAACTCAATACAATGAAGTTTAAAAAAAAAACAAAAAACTTTTAAACAGCATAGTAGTGCACGCCTGTAGTCCCAGCACTTGGGAGGCTAAGGCATGAGGATCACTGCGAGTTTCAGGCAGCCTGGGCTACATAGTATGTTCAAGACCAGCCTGAATTACATAGTAAGTCCTTTTCTCAAAAAAACAAAAATAAAATAAACTTTCAATCAAGCTAGTATCATTGTTAGTTTCTTTCTTCTACAGGACTTTCACTTAGAATTTATTAAAATCAAATCAGCAAAGCTCAGCTAGGTACTATTACTCCATTTCTGCCAAATACTAACAGCTTCCACAAACAGGGTTGTAAATTAAAACAAGAATGATTAAAAACCCTAATCAGTTGGATCACATAATTGAATATGGTTGAGATCTTAACTCCAGAAGGACAGCAACATTTTGAAGTAATTATTTGATTTGATCTAGAGTATTGCTAACCTTTACAAACATTACTAAATGAACTTTAGGTTCTACTTTCAAAATACCAACTAACCTAGTGTTCAATATATTGACCACTCAATTCCAATTTGTAAAATTCATTAAGTGCTACTTTGCAGAAAAAGCAAATATAATAAGTAAAATCAAGAATATATGCTTCACTGGAAGACATCATTAAATATTAAGATCTACAGTAATATCCTTCATAAAACTCTTTACAGAAAGGAAGGAAGGAGGGAAAGGAAAAAAAGAACACAATGTTTATTTTTAAAATTGGAGAATTATTATACCAAGAAAAAAGTAACCTGAAAAACAGACTTTTTATCAGAGTAGCATTTCAAACTGACTAGAAATTGGAAGTGTCTAATTCAAACCCTGTCTAGCCTGGGCAACTGAAGTCCAGCAAAGTTTTTGCCCCATTAAAATGTGGGCTTATTTATTATAAAACAGCAACTACTGAATCCCACAAGAATATATAAAGTTCAGTAATAATCTACCATTTGAAATAATTTCAAGAGGAAATCACATGATAGAAAGTCTTTGGCAAACACCTACCAAGGTTCCTGCCATATGTTAGCACTGGTCTGATCCCAAGTCTTTTTATTCAAGGAAGCTGCTTTCTAGTACATATGTTAAAGACAGCTGGTTCTCTTACATCTAGTTATGCTAATCAAATGGCTTAGCCATATAGTTTCAAAATACAAAACATATCTTAATGTTTACTTAATCTATATTTTCTTAGATTCTTTAATAATGGATATTACTATAAATAATTTGGAACTAAAGATTTGTCCACCTGGATGGGTTTTTTAACACATTGATAGATGCTTCTTGCTCTGGATAACTCCCGAAAGGCTGTCAAGCAGTTGTACATGGCAGTGTCGATAACACAGGGTTGCAAGAGTTCCAGAAGCAATTCAGATGGTGGAAGAGGCCGCCATCCAAGCCCAGAAAGTCACTCTTCAACAATGCAAGTGATTTACCAATCAATCAAGAAACCAAATGACTTCTACAATAGTAATTCTTTCTTCTGTCCAGAAATAGAGTGCAGTAAGAAATAAAAAAGAAAAAAGATCACTTGTTTGGAGAAACTAGAGGTACAGACAAGTAGGATGATACTATTAAAGTAACCTTCCCAAAACTAGCAGATTGTTCTAATTTTTGCTCCAATAAGCCTGACAATATCCAAAACAGATTTCTTTTGTTTTCAACCACAGAAGTTATACTGTATATGGGAAACAGGCATTTAATTCATCTTAGAAAGTGATTTTGGAGTTGACCTATGTATTTACAGTTAAGAAAAAGAATTCTAAGAAGTTTGGCTATTTCTGACATAGATTACACAGTACGATCATATTCCTTACCCTGACAACTTGCCGAGTACTTGTAATGAAGGCTTTTCTTATACTTAATTCAGTTGCATCAAGGTTGAATTTTCTAGGATTTGCTTCAACTATGCGTGGATCAAGGAGTCAAGGTAAAGCAATTTCATCATTAAAGGCTTAACTAACCTTGTTAAACCACAGACTCACTCACATGCAACCAATAAAATCTGGCCCCAACTTTCTGAAAACACAATCAGTTTGATATTAAACATTCTCAAACTTTCTTAGTCACAGTTACATGAATATCTCTTTGCCCTAACACCAAAATGACCTTCCAGGTTGAGAAGCATTCCCTGCTGACTGAGCTCACTTCAATTCCATGGTGGGCTGGTAACAGTTGAGCAGGGGTCTTGTTTGCCAATACTTTTTATCTATCCTTCTTTAATTTCTAACCACTTTTCCCAGGACAGCTTCTGTAAGCCTTTTTCAATGCCATACCAAACCACTTTCTCGTATACCAAAATGCTAACCCATTTTTTTTTTTGAAGTACTAAAGATTGAACCCAGTTATGATTTAGTTATTGACCTACCAGTAAATATTTGGTATATTCCTGTATCTGTTTTTGATCCTGTCCTCTTACATATTTTATTTGAGAAAACATAATTACTTTTAATAATTTAAAAGGTACCCAGGGTCATTATCATAGAAACAACATACTCTTAACTATCAACTGCTAACGAGTGAGTGATCCTTACAAAAGCTGGTTTCCTGGCTGTTTTATCTCACTTAGGGGAAAAAACAAAAAACAGAAAAACAACTCAGAAGTGCAACTGGCATGTCTTCCACCTACAGCTTTGGTTACACGGAATTTTCGGTTGAAAAAAAGGGCCATATAAATTCAGCTTCAACAGTTCCCTGGTTCATCACTTAGAATAGTGAATTTATTTAACACTAACCAGTAATTAGCATAACAGATCTGATTTTACTAAATGCACTTTCATGGTACAATAGAACTCTCCAATGGACAGTGGCATTTCCACATCACTTCTTAAACAGGAGGAGTTGACAAAAAGATTTTCTTTTGATTTCTAGTAATGCATAACATTGCTTTGTATATATGTAATAATGACTGCTAATACTTTTCCTTTTCCTTTTTTGGTGGTGCTGGGTATGGAACCCAGGGCCTCCCACATGTTAGGCATGTGCTCTACCACTGAGCTACACCCCTAGTTCAACTGTTAACACTTTTATAGTTTACCATGGGCCAAGTGTCATGTTAAGCTCTTTGTATCTGTAAGCCCCTCACAATCCTGTGAGGGAAGTACTCCTATTAGTCTTTCTACTGAAGAGGAAACTGAAGCACACAGAAGTCTAGCAATGTGCCCCAAAACACAGTAACTGGTTATGATAATGTTATACAAAACTCCAGCTGGACAGGGTACAAGGAGCTTCTAGGCAGCTCAACGTAGGGAAGTTCCTAGACGGTGATGCTCCTAAAGAGGGAAGGGAAGCTCCATGCCCCTTCTCCCACACCTCACCCTGTGCTATCTCTTCCATCTATTTCTTTATCTGTATACTCTGTAACATCCTTTAAACAATCCTCCAAACTTGCAATCCTCCTTTTGGTATAAATGAGTAAATACAAGTAAAGTATCTCAGTTCTGTGAGCTACTCTAACACATCAATCAAAACTAAATGGAGGGCCGTGGATTTAGCTCAGTGGTGCCGCCGCCTGCCTCACAAGCGCAAGGCCCTGAGTTCTAGCCCTGGTACCAAAAAAAAAAAAAAAAAATGGAAGGAGGGTCACAAGCACAGGTCGGAACCTGGGAGTTGCCACTGTCATCTGAACTGGGGACAATCTTGTTAGACTTGAGCCCTTAACCTGTGGGATCTAATGCTATTCCAGGTAGTTTCAGAAATTAAATTGAATTTCATTGCACCCAGCTGGTATCTGCTGCAGAATTGCTTGGCGTTTTGCCACCTATGTGGTATCAAAAAATTTTATTGAGTGTGAGAATAAAGAAAAAAACTATTTTTATCTTTGAATGGGTGGAGCCAGTGCTTAAACACCAGCAGTGTTCAAAGTGGCAACCACTATGCTGCCTCTCTATTGCAAAATTTTTCATGTATCATAGAATTAGAGTATTCTACCTCAGCTTACCAGGGAATTCTTTTTAAATATATCTTGGTACAAAGAAAAGCAATATCAATTAATTATGAAAGGAAATGTGTCACCTATGTACTTGAAACATCTGGATAAAAACTGTCCAGCTGTCTACCCCATGCAGCACAGACATCACAGAAAAGGATATTGATGGTTTCATCAAGGTCCTCTAGATCCCACTCTATGCTGCGGAGGTTGTTTCTCAGCTCGTTGGTGGTCCAGTCTATTTCTTCCCTTGTGGCTGCGGAAGGGTCTTGAAGGAGCTCCGTCCATCTCTGAAACAGCCCCTGGGCAGTGTTGACTGCTTTCTGTACCTCTCTGTAACCAAGGTGGCAAGGGAAAGGAGAAATCACACTCAACAAACTCCATCAACAAGTTACTGAATAACTTAACTGCCATTAGGATCATACACCAACCTCAGCAGCCACAATGCCCTTAGATGTTTGGTGTGGTAATAATTTATATGCAGATGAAAAAGCTCCAGGATGGCTTTTCTTTTCTTGGGATAGGAACGGCAGGGGGAGGCTTATTTTTAAAGAGCTTATATTTTTGATGTTAAATATTCTAATCTAAGAAATGTCAAAACCAAAAATCTTATTAGACTAGCTTCAAATATATCTACTTTCCTAGATTAAGCAACTCTGTATACCAGATTAGAGGTTTTCTTCTTTAGAATGTGAGAGTAGTCCAGGAAGTGCTATGATGGTAGCTTTTTTCTTTCTTTCTTTTTTGGCAGTACAAAGGATTAAACTTAGGGCCTTTGCACTGAGCACATCTCCAATCACTCTCCCTTTTAAATTTTTTTTTTACATTGAGATAGGGTCTAGATAAATTGCTAAAAATGCCCAGGTTGGGCTCAAACTTGCAAACCTCCTGACTCAGCCTCTCAGAATGTTAGGATTAAAGGCATGTGCCACCACACCCAGTTGATCTAGCATATTTTTAGATCAGATACAGTCACAAGGTTTTAAGAACTTCCTCCTCCAACATCATTTAAATGTTATATTCTAAAAACTACTGCATAGTTGCCAAAGAGAAGCACTTTAGAATCATAGGGTCTCTTATGCACAAAGATAACAACCCCACTCTTCCCAAACTAAGAGAACTGTTCTGATCTTATAATTTTTTAACCAATGCTTTTGAAACAAACAACAAAAAAATATGTTCAAGCTGATCTGGATGTTGGTTGTCTGCGGCTTTAAGACAGAATTTACATGCATCCTATTCCCTCTGATATTTCAAGGACCAGGAGAGAAATGCGAAAGCACAAATTAAAAAGAAGAAAACCATCTTACAATATTTATGAGGTGTAATAAAAAAAATACAGGGAATGTTTAAATAAAAAGTTAAATTTTTTTACAGTAAAAGGCACACTGCCATTACTCCCTCCTCAAAGTACTTCCCCATGCTTTGAACTCACTTATCCCATCATTCTTGCCACTTTCTGAAGCAGTTCTGGATGTCCTCTTGGTTTTTGTATTGTTTTGTTTTGGTCTGGTTTTTTGCCTTCCTTGGTGTCCTGGACTGATTCAAAATGTTTATAGCAATTTCTGTCAAATAAAAACATTACAATGTGTCCCCATCCACCTTATTTACCTTATGAGGCACCATATGATTCCTGGTCTTTCCCAAAATTAGAATATCCATGAAGGATAAAAGTTTTGAATTGATTCAGGACATCAAAAGAGCTATGATACCATTTCAGAACTGTTTCAGAAAAGTGGCAAGAATGATAGGATAAGCGGGTATATAGCAAGAAAAGTATTTCAAGGGGGATTAAACGGCAATGTGTTCTTTATTATAATAATTTTTAAAAACTTTTAAATGTTGACCATATTTTTTATCACATTACATAGGGCAGACTGATGTGAGCCAAAAAGCTGAACTTTAAAAGAGAGAACGCAGCTAGTGGGGCCAGACAGAATAAATCAGTGAGCTATGTGGTCAACAAGGAATATCAAGGGATGGTCACATCTAGTTTATGCATTAAACTAGCAGCTGTCTCATCATTCCTCTTACATTAGCATTTAGATTTTCAGTGCTAATGAGAAACTGTATTTAAAATAAAAGGAGGAAGGAGTAAATAAGTGAAATGTAAATCCACTATCTTTATTCTTTATTGATATAACTGGCCAATTTGGTGGGAAAAGTTACATAATCCACAATGTGAGATACCTGGTTTATTTGTAAGTGCTTAATATCATCTATAACAATGGAAGACAGAGTTTAAGAAGACTTTGTAAAGATATCTAATTTTAAAGAATATGGTATTTCTCAATTCTGTTAAGTAAATGTAAATTCCTTTTAAAGAACTAGAATTGTCAAGTCAAACCAAGAAATGTGGTTAGGGTATGTTATATTTTCTAGCACCAGTCTACAACAGTAATACTGGAATTAAATTCTATGCAGCAGTCTGTAATCTTGTTTCGTCTCAGGACTCCTCTGTATTCTTCAAAATTATTGGACTTTACCTACTGCTATTTACCATGGCAGAAATTCAACACATTTAAAACATTTATTTTTTTTAATTTTTTTTTATTTTTTTGGTACTGGGGATCGAACTATGGTCCTTGAGCTTGCAGCACAGGCGGTGGAACCACTGAGCTAAATCACCAGCCCTTAAAACATTTATTAATTAAAAATGAATTTACATGTTTATATAAAAACGAAATTTTTTTAAAAACAAAATTTAGTGAGAAGAATGTCACTGTTTTACATTTTTGGAAATTTCTTTAATATCCGGTAGCTGAATTCTTATACCTCCTTTATTCAGTCTTTTGATATACACTTCCATTGATGCACACGATGAGAACTCAGCCTCATACAGATATATCAGTGGAACAGAAAGGACTACTTTAATAGTCTTTTAACATAACTATGGATACTTTTTTGATAGTTTCCAATCAGAACAACTTCAAGTATTGGGAATCTTAAGTATTGAACCACAGTAGTTGATATAAACTTCCCAAAATTTTCTTTCTTTCTTTTTTTTAAAGGCCCTAATTTTATCATTGGTAAAAGCACCTTTAGTTGTCTCCCAAAGTGGCAGGTTCACCTCATTCATTTTTGAGAAAATATCTCAAGAATGTTAGATAATGGTGAGATTTGAGAAGGTATGCAATTTGAGTAACCACTTTGGCAGTCATTCTGTCAAGTAAAAATGAGATTCTATTGGGTTGGGTGAGAGCTATTTCAGTTCACAATTTAACCATAGAACTGCCTTTCCTAGAGACAACCATCTTTTTTCACAATACAGCAAAAATGTTTTATGCACATCCCCATTTTATAAACAATATTAAAATGTGTACAAAGGGAGAAAATGTTTGCAAATTATACATCTGACTTATGACATATTCAGAATATATCTTTTTTAAAAAACTCTCAAAACCAGTAAGAAAACAAATCCAATTTAAAAATGGGCTAAGTATTTGAATGGTCACTTCACCAAAGACACACATGTGAGAAATAAGCATCTGAAGATGCCCCACATCACTGGTCACTAGGGAAATGCAAATTAAATCCTCAATGAAATACTAGTACATATTTAGAATGGCTTAAAACAAAGCAAAACTCAGGGGGAAAAAACCTAACAACGCTAAGTGCCAGAAAAGTGGTGGGTAACTGGAATTCTGGGAGTAATGCGAAATAGTATAGTCACTTTAGAAAAAGTTTGGTTTTTTCTCAACATTAAACATACAGCTACCGTATGACCCAAGAAGAAACCCAGATGACATGAAAACATGTTCACATAACAACCTGCAAAGTGTTATAGTAGCTGTGTTAGTTACTTTTCTTATTGCTGAGACAAAATACCTGACACCCAAAGTTAAAGGGGGAAAGGTTTATTTAGTTCACAGTTTGTAGAGGTTTCAGTCTATAACAGGCTGGCTCCAAGGCAGGATGGCTTGGCATAGGGGCTTCACAGAGGAGAACAAATTCATGGCAGCCACAAGGTAGCAAAAGCAATAACAGCATCTTTCTGCCCCTTTTATCTTATCCAGACTAACAGGATTAGGACAGTGCCCCTGTGCCACTGATTAGTTAATCAGTGGACTGATTTAGTAATCACACACCTTTAATCCCAGCATCACACACTCTAGATTCACCCACCTCTGAAAAAGCCCTACGACCACATGAGGTTTTGGGGGACATCTAGACACAAACGGTAACAGAAGCTTTATCCACAGTAGCCCAAACTTGAAAACCACCTAAATGTTCTTCAACAAATAAATGGACAAACTGTGGTACAGCTGCACAATGGAATACTACTCAGGAATAAAAAGGAACACATCAATACATGCAACAACATGGTCAAACCTCAAGTCCAGTGTGATAAACTCAGAAGGGCCCAGGATTCCAATGATATAAACGTTCTGGAAAAGACAAAACTACAAGGACAGAAAACAGATCACTGGTTGCCTGGTGCTTGCATGAGGAATCGATCAAAAGGGAACCTGTAGGGGTGATGAGTCTGTTCTATATAGTATATGTGGTGACAGTAATCACACAACTCTATGAATGTATCAAATTTTGCAGAAGCTTAAAAAGGGTGAATTTCACTGCAGATAAATTATGTCTTAAAAAATAAGAAGAGTACTTGAGAGATTTTATACAGTCGATACTTTTTACTGTTTCATGAAAGATAGTCTTAAGAGAACATGGTTTTTTTTGTTTTTCACTTTGAGTACAGCATGGTGAAGAATATAACAACTATGAGTATAGTAAGGCAGGGTGCCTTGATACTTAAGGTACTGGGAATTTTACCCACCACCACTTTCGCACCATCAGTACAAATGTCAATACAGTGAAAAAGCCAAGTAACAATTATTATTATTTAGGAGTTTTAAGTGATGTATCATTCTGTGAAAGGATCCTGGGAATCGCCTGTGATCCCAGACCACAGTTTCAGAACTTCAACATCGTAAGATACGGATATTTGGATTGGGATAAGGGAGTGTGCGTGGATGGATTCTCGGGGCACTGGGTGTGAAATTAAATAGTTCTTCAGCATTCAAGAACTAAAGCATATGCCCAGCTAGCACTGAAAGAAATGGCAGGAATTAGAAAAATGCTCCAAAGCAACCCCAGGATAACGGTCAACACTCTACAGGCATGACCAGTGACATGGCTTATTCCACTCTAAAGCTCTTATTTTAATTATAAAGAGGATTCCCTTTTAGTTTTCATTTCATAAAACAAGCATAAGAAAGGCAAAATAGTCATTATTTCGCATTTCTAAGGCAGATGTTTTAAGGGACCAAAAGGTGAGCACTGACAGCAATAGCTCAAATCTTAAAAGAAAAGTCAAGTATCCAAGA